CCAGGTGATTCCTGAGCTCCGGCCAAGCACGACTCCTCCAAGGAAATGGGGCAGAGAGAGAGGCAGTGAGGAGGCCCTGCCTTCCAGAGACTCTGTCCAGCTTGTCCTTTTTTTCATCTCCCCCCACCCCTCACCCAGAAGCCACCTTAGCTGGGTTTCAGAAGCACCACTGGGGTCTCTGCATTGGGCCGGGGACCACCCCAGAGCTCTGGACCCACTGTTAGCATGAGTGGTATTTTTTAAAGCTTATTTATTTATTAAAAAACTTTTTTTAATGTTTTTATTTATTTCTGAGAGAGAAAGAGAGAGACAGCATGAGCAGGGGAGGGTCAGAGAGAGAGGGAGACACAGAATGTGAAGCAGGCTCTAGGCTCTGAGCTAGCTGTCAGCACAGAGCCCGACGCGGGGCTTGAACCCATGAACCAGGAGGTCATGACCTGAGCTGAAGTCGGACGCTTAACAGACTGAGCCACCCAGGTACCCCTAAAGTTTATTTTTGAGAGAGCGTGCAAGCGCGCACGAGAGAGGCAGGCAGAGAGGGAGAGAAAGAATGCCAAGTAGGCCCTGCACTGTTAGCATAGAGCCTGATGTGGGACTTGAACTCATGAACCGTGGGATCACAACCTGAGCTGAAATCAAGAGTTTAGGGATGTTTGACTGAGCCACCCGGGCGCCCCATGAGTGTTTTTTTTTTTTTAATTGAGCACTTTCTACATGCAATAACCTATACCAAAGTCTTATACGCATTACCTTTAATTTCCACAATTACTTTAAGAGTTTTTATTACCTCCATTTACAGACAAAAAGAGAACCAAGGTAAAGAGAAGCTAACGTACCCAGAGTCACACATCTAACAAGGGACACGCCAGGGATTTGAATTTAGATCTGAATAGCTCGAAAGGGTGGCCCTGCACCACTACATCTCATACAGTGTTCTAATGAAATACTTTCCAATAGCATGGCTGCTGTTCTGAAAAACATTTTTCTTCTAGGAGCCCAGGATCAGGGGAGAGGTGGGAAAGTCAGAGAGGCCAAGATGCTTCCCAGGGCCCAGGGTGTGGGTCCAGGAGTCTCTCTTGCACACCTGTGCCGGGCCGTGTAAGGCTGTGCTGCCCCTGCGGGGCTCAGGCTGGTGTGGTGACCGGCCTTCCAGACTCCGGGGACTAGAGTGAGCCTGGACTGAGGTGTCAAGCATTGACTGAGGGCTGGCGAAAACGGGATGGGCCCTAAGCCACAGACCATCTTGTCCCAAAGCCAAGGCAAAGAACATGACTTGGTGCTATAGGACACCCTGTTTCTAGCAGATAAAAGTATTGTTTTAGGCCTGACTGGCCATCTTGGTGGGGGATGGATGGAGGAGAGGGGAAAGGAGAGAACGGGCAGGGAGCCTTGCTGGGTCATCTGACAACCGTCCAGGTATGGCAGACAAGGCGGCCGAGGACTGGGAAGGCCAGCTGACTGGGTATTTTCTGGCCGACTAGGTATTAAACAAGAGGTGGCTGGCAGTTTCTTCTTTTATAAAAAGATCTTATTTCTAAGTAATCTCTACACCCAACATGGGGCTTGAATTCACAGACCTGAGGATCAAGAGCCACACGCTCTGCCGACACAGCCAGCCAGGCGCCCGAGGCAAGAAATGCTGGATGTAGCATATCTGTGAGAACAGCTCTGGGGTCGGATCGCCTGTGTTCAAGCCCTGGCTCACTAGCTCTGTCACTCATTAAGTGACTTCTCCGGTGTTGGTCTCTGCATTTGTAACACGGGACAACAGCAGCTACGTCAGTGCTGGGGAAGTGAGACTACACAGAGATCTCCATCCCATGTGCAACATATGGTAAGCACTTAATTTGTGATGAGAATATTTCTAAAAAATATTAACCACTCTGATGTAAAAGACGAGAGAGAGAGAGAGTGAGAGAGCGAGAGAGAGATATGGAGAGAGGGAGAGAGAGAAACATAGCACTTACAGGTACGTTAGGTCTTGGTCTGGACCAGCAGGGATGCTTTTGGTTCTTATTTCTCATAAATGATCCTTGTCTGGGCAACATGACTATCAGTCCCCAGGAGCAGAAACCACATCCCATTTTAGGCCAGTATGGCCCAACCCCTACAGCATTTGGCATGGGACCGAGCACACAATAGGACCTGAGACCCCAGACCTCCAGGGAGATCAGACCTGTGCCATTAGACATCTGATGTGCCTGGCGAACGGTGTGCATGTGTGTGTCTGTTAACAAAAAGAAGGTGCACAGTGCTTGCCCTTGAAGGGGTCACAGCTTAGTGAGGGAGGATCTGAAGTCACCCTGTGACAATCTAATAATTCTGGGCCCCCACACCCACCCTCGCTCCTGCCTGACATCTCTGACCCCACTGCACGTGTGTGCACGGCCACCCTGTTCCTCATTTCACCTCCGCTCCCTGGGCTCACAGGCAGCCCAGCCCCGGCCTCTCTGCAAGTGCTGGCTTTGGTCTGGACCCTGTGTCGAGCACAGAGGTTTCAACCTTAAAAGGAATGAAAAGGTGTTTGGTCCCGTGCCAGGCCCGTGGGGCCCCTCCCGCACCCCCTGCTCATTTTTATCAGACCCTCCTGATGGCAGGTCTATGAATCTCCCCTGGAGGGGACCATGGGTCCCTGGACTGACCTTGTCCTAATGTGTTTGATCAGCTGTTTCTGGCCGACGCTGGGGGAACCAGTGCAAGAAGAGCCGGCAGGAGTGGTGTTTGATCAGAGCAGCTGGGGAGCTCTGGGCCCCGCTAGCTGCTCTTCGCCTTCTGCTAATCTCTCCTCGGACAAAGGAAGGAGGATGTTCTGATAGACCAGCCCTCAGGTGCCTGGGGAACAGCCTCGCCAGCAGGGGTGAGATTTGGAAGCTGGTTTCTCCCTGAGGGGCAGGAGGGCAAACCAGACAAGCAGCATCTACTAAGCACCTGAGTGCACTGTCTGGTGCATTAAACGTGTGGAAGAGACACAAGTGTCTTCGTGGGCATGGGACCTGTGCTCTGGTGGCACCAATGGACAGGGCCGAGGATGGGACCGATGCGCAAGAATAAAGCCTAAAGAACGTTCACGAGAAAAAAATGAAGCTGGTTGTGGTTTTTTGTTGTTGTTTTTTTTTAGATTTTATTTTTAAGTAATCTCTGCACCCAATGTGGAGCTCAAACTCACAACCCTGAGACCAAGAGTTGCATGCTTCACCGACTGAGCCAGCCAGGCACCCCTGAACCTGGTTTCTATGCCCATGTCCTAGGCCCTCTGTTCTAGGTGAAGCCTTGAGTACTGGAGTATTTCTCGATGAAGGGTGAAGCCCTTTGATCTAGGACAAGTTCACGTGGAGGCGGCCAGAAGCTACATTTCTCTTTTCACCCAAACACTTCCCTGAGCATAAGCACGGAGGATGAGGTAAGCAATGAACAGGCAGGGTGGGAAGACCAGACATCATTACACACTCCGTGTTTCGACTCCCTGGTCCTCACTGGGTGTGCTCCCTCCCGTATGCAGATAAGACCCCTCAGCTGTGCTGCTTGAGTCCCTGCGCCGCTTGGGATGTCCCGCACCCCTCTTATCTCCATTCACTTGGGTCTGGGACGGGGGCCCTGGGATTACCGTGGGACAGCCCAGAGAGGGGAGTCTTAACTTGGTCCTGGGCAGCCCGGCACTCTATCCCAGGCCCCTACCTTAAGGATGTGTTGGACATACTCCTCCTTGCCCTTCTCTGCCCTCTCCCCCCAGGCTCTTTAAACAGTATTGGGAACAATAACAGACATCATTTGCGAAGCATCTACATACTGGTAAGAGTTTAGGAAGGCCTTGCCCAAGGTCATTTGTCTAGTTAGTCCATGCCCTTCCCACTGTGCTGCTCAGCCTCCTACAGCAGCCCCCCAGGCGCAGGGCTGAGATGACTGGATTGCCAAGGGCTCGCTCGGCCCATTTCCCAACTCTGCACACATTCACCTTCATGGCTGGAGCCCAGTGGTACGTTACAATCATCCAGAGCCGCCCAGGGCACTGTAAGGATTATTGCTTACAATGGAGGGCTCCAGTCTCTCTCCAAAGACACCGCTTAGGCAGGGGCACTCCTTCATAAAGTCCCTGTGGGCTCGGGACAGGGGTCCATTTGTGCCACTCCAGGACTGTCCCGGGAGACCTGAGCACAGAGTGACTTCGCCCCTGCTTTCTCCAGCTCGGGGCTGGCCTGACCTTAGAGGACTGCCGGATAGAACATGCCTTCCCTTTTCTTTTCACGCTGATTCTTCTGCAGAAATGAGGTGCATCCTGTCTGTGTGCGGCCTCTAGGTTTCCCCGTTGGCTGCCAGCAACGTGACATTTTCAGCTATTTACCACAAAAGGTTTCTGCTTATTTTATACTCATCCGCTCAGCACTTTGTGCTTTGGGGCAGTTGAGATTCAAGAGATAAATGAAAAGTGGTGGGTGTTATAAGGTTCCCCGAGGGTTCAGAGAGAGAGGGAGAGGGTGGGAGGGAGGCAGGGGGAGGGAGGGAGAAGAGAAACGTGAAGGTGCAGGAATGGACACCCACCTCAGTGCCAGCGATCGCAGGGAATGGTTGACCTCCACATGGAAAGACTTAGCCAACAATTACAATCTCAACACTAAGCTCATTAACGTCAGACCTGGAACCTCCCTACAGTTCTGTGCAGCAATATGCCCCATTATAGATGGGGGGGGGAAGGCTGAGAGGCTGTCTCCCCCAAGGTCACAGTCAGAAAGTGGCACAGCTCGGATATACCCAGGTTGCATACCCATGCCCCTCTCTGAAACACTGCAGCACACTTGCTCCCTGGGGAAGAGGGCTTAGGAAAGAGCCTCCAAGTGACAGGACGGCATACCCCCCCACCCCCGCAGGCCATGCCAATGTGGCCCAAAGGTATAAGAGCCCCTAGGAACCCAGGTCTACCAAGCCGGTGCCCCTCTGACAGCTGCCAGAACCAGAGAGGGAACAGGGCTGGATCATCACAGCCCATGTGAAACTCAGGCAGCACAAGATTTTCAAAGTGTGTATTTTATTTATACAGAACAGTGCAAGTTAAATGAAAATAATGGTTTATAACCTAATTTACAGCACCGGGTGCTGGCTACCTGTCCTGACCATGCTGGGAGGTGTGTCGGCCTCCGGAAGAGAAGCGGTGAACATTTCCACGGCTGGGACACAACGTGAATTAGCCCAGGCGATAATTGTTCTCAACAACGTGACCCCCTCGAACACAGGCGGCTTCTCTCGTCCTTAGAGGCACAGCTGCAGGTGCAGGAAACTTCTGGGTTCTGGCTGTGCTTTGAGGCTTTGGCCCAGGTCCTGTCGGCCCCAAGGTTTCCCATGGCAACAAAACAATTGTCATCGACTTGCCTCCGATACCCTGTTCAACCCCAAATCTTACTGCTGATCCCGTTTCTTCCCTACCGCTCACGGGGCTCTAGGGGACACTGGATCAAGAGGAGCAGGGCTGGGGCTGCTGCTCTTTCTCTGGGAGGAATGATTAACACATCCCAGCAATTTCTCCATCACTGTCCAGCTTTCTAGTCCCAATGGAAATGCTGCTTGTCCCCTAGAACCATTCCATGCGAGGTCACCGGTTTCTTCCATCCCTTAGGCAATTCACAGACCTAAGGCATGCTGAGACTTAAAGGCACAGCTCTCCCATTTCATTAATACGTCATCAGCTTGTGGTGACTGTGACGTCACCGGCGGTGAGAAACTCTTAGGGCCCATCTCATCTTTCTCGATTGTGAGAGTGCACCTGATTTACTGAAACCATGAGCACAGTAGGCCCCCTCCCTCACCCCCCACATTCACCCTGTCAAACAGGACCTTGTTCTTTCCTGGGGACGGGGGATGAGGCCGATGCCCATGGCTGCTGGGAGGGGAGGGTCAGAGTGTTTCCACAGAGAAGCCCTGGATGGATCACCAGGGGAATCCAGGATTCACAGCACAGAGCCTGGCACTTGCTGGGCTCAAGGGCATCTAAGCATAAAGCTTCTGAGACAGTAGAGGCAGTCTTTATGGCTCTGCCCCTCTGCTGCACCCCCGGCCCCAGATGCTGCTCCTGTACTTGGGACAGTCCCATGTTCCTTGGGCAAGCCTTGCTTCAGTCTCCTATTCGTCATCTCACTTACCTGGGATGGCAAATCCCGTTCCCTAAGTGATCCCCGTTACTCCCACAGAATTAGGCTCCAGCTCGGACTCTGGCTGCCTTTCCCCTCCTCGCTATGGGCTGCCTCCTGAACTCTGGGAGCAGAGAAAGTCTGCGGTCCCACTGAGTGCACCCAGGAAGTCTACAGGCTCCTCCACACCAGCGCCAACGCCCCAGGGCTCAGCCTGGAGGCCAGCAGGACACACCCACGGCAGCGAGGCAGCCAGACACCTCTGCAAGTGACGGGGACCAAAGAGAGCACAATGACAGTGTCATCTGTGGCAGACATTCAGAAGGTCTCTTGGGCAGCAGTGGGAGGAAAGAACAGAGATGGCCAAATAGAGCTAGAAAAAGTCTTCCTACAATTAAAATCCATACTTGGGCATCTCCGGGGAGTGAAAATTCACACTTGGGAGTCTCCGGGGAGTGACTCTTAAGACTGTGGCCAACACAGCGCCCTGCAGAGGCCCACGCAGAGTGAAGACTAGATTCGGGACACCCTGTCCTCACTGTCACTAGAAGCAGCACAGACTCCATGCCTCCGGCCGAATGTGCCAGGGGAGCGGCGTGTCCCCGGGTGCAGCCCCCGATTGCTCCCAGCACGGCGGGCTGCAGGTGTCTGCGGGCTCCCAGCACGGCAGGCTGGAGGAAAGGTGTGCGCTGTCACAATGCGGGGTTCCGTCGAAGACCTGAGCAAGTATTTCTCGGAACTTGACAAGATCTGGAACTTGGTTTAAAAACTTACAGCTTTCTTTCATCAGAGGACTTTTTAAAAAAGAAAAATCACCTGTCCCTCCAGGCCCTCAGCAATTAAGTTTTTGTTTGTTTCTTGACTAGAAGGGACTCTCCGGTGGCACCACGGTGGCCCGTGAGCAGCAGGCACTCTTAACGGCCGGGCTGGGCTGCCCCATCCTCTTCCAGAGGGTTTGATCTGGTGCCACGGGGAGATCCAGTGCTGCTCTGCCCCTCGCAGATCAAGAGCTCCCCTGGGCTGACAGCTCATAGGATGGAGACCTTTCAGGAGAGACAGCTGTGGCAGGAGCCGCGAGGGCTGCATGTGGAGGCCGCGTCTTAAAGGTTTGAGCACCATCTTCTGGTCAGGTTTTGGCTTTCAAGGACTCGCCTTTAAAAACTTCATTTACTCCGCAACGGGAGGATCCCTGAGCTGACAAGCTCAAGTGACAGTGCACATCACAACGAGGACACGAGCAGAGGCAGGAGTGGCGAGCTGCCTGGTGTGCGCGGCGGCCCGCGCTGGGACTCGCCACCCGCACGCAGCCAGGTGGCTGCAGCGAGCACACTGGTCAGCGGCAAGGCTCTGCCTTCTGCCCTCCCAGCAGTGCGCGGGGGCAGTAAAAGTTCTCAGCGAGTCCCAAACTGACCCCTGCCCCTGCTTGTACCTGGCGACGCTGACATGTGCTGGGAAAGGAGGCGCGGGCCTGCCGGGGAGTGACGCAACCAGGCACCACCTCCGCAGGGGGTGAAGCCCTGCGAGCCGCGCCCGGTGTGTAAGCACTGCGCTAGCAGACCTCGCCCTCCTGGCATTAAGGAAAGGAAGATAAATGCTAGTCATTCCCTCCAAACGGCGGGAACCTACATCCATCTAATTGCACTTCACAATGGATTCCACAAACCATTAATTATCAGATTATATTTTAGGAACTGAAGATAAAAAAGCTTTGTGAAATTCAGCCTCCAGAGGCTCACGACCCTGCGGGAACAGTGACAGCCTGGGAGAGTGGGACAGCAAGCCACTCACAAGGCGGGCGACCGCGGGCACCAGTGCACCCAGCCCCGCCCTGGTTCATTAGCCGTAACGCCAGCTCCAGAGCGAGGGGGCGAGGCTCACAGGCCATGGAGACCTTTCCCGCTCTGAGTGGGAACAGGGGTGGGGAGGACACGGGAAGGCTGTGGGGACCAGCCTTCAGGCACAGGGCACCGAGGGAAATACCCTGGAAAGGCAGGCCGGTCTCTGCAGCGGGATGGCCCCACACCAACAGCGTCCCGCAGGAACACCGCAAAGCCTCGTTTGGGGAAGGGCTCACTGTCCGGACGGGGTGGGACTTGGCCTGGAAACGAGGCCTTCTGGTGTGAACACGCTGCTCCCCATCCTGCCTCCGGGAGAGGGCTGTGCTGCCTGAGCACATGGGAGCACGGCAGAGTGAGGAAGGGCCCTGTGGGCTCCAGCCTGCGGTCTCTGGCTGCTCTGCTGGTGTGTAGCTCTCAGTTCTAACTGGCCAGGAGCACTGGCAGCCCCCATCTGCGGGCCGCGGTCCCACAGGCCCCTGCCATTCTGCACAGTGAAGGCAGCCGGCACCCAGCACCTCTCTGGTGCCCTGGTCACTGGCTCCTAGGCCACTGCTCATCACAGGGGCCACTGCAGTAGGCCTGTCCCCTCTGGAGGGCAACGGGGTCGGTGCCGATGACTCCAGCACTGTCGGTTCTATGGGAACGAAGTGCGAGTGTTCCGGCTGGCGGAGGCCGAGATGCCCACCACTTGGGATAGCCAGGGACGGGGGCAGAGGGCAAGCCGTGGAACGTTCTCTGCGGCAAATGCAGGGCCTCCACTGGGTGAGAAGCTGCTCACTTGGCCTCACCACAGATGAGGGTCACGGTACCATCCAGCAAATCCTCCACGGTCACCGCCACGAGCTCAGAGCTGGTCTGAGATGTCTGCGCATCTGGCAAGGTCACAAACACCTGCGACCCAGCAAGCTGGGTCTCCTCCAAAGTGATCACCTGCTCTGTCGGGGCAGCCGGCTCTGGGGTTTGGATCACCTGCAAGGGAAAGACCACGAGGCTGCTCTAGGCAATGTCCACAGTGAGCTCCCCAGAATTTACATGGTTTTCGTCTCATGCTGTAATGATGATATTTATGTTTTCACCTGAGGAGAGCAATTACATGTGCCTAATGGGAAGAGGCAAGTCTAACACAGCAGCGATGCAAAAGCGAAGGCAGGCAAACAATTTAAATACTCTGTGTGCTAAATTGCTATAATTTCGCTCAGTGTGCCATCTCAGGGCGCCTGGACTCTATGATTACATACCAGTGAATACTGGCTCTGTTTCTTACACTGGGTTTTCCTGTCTCGAGGAGCACACTGTGGAGGGGAGCACCACTGAAAGGAATGCTACTGATGGTGGTTAGTCTCAGGCTTGACCACGGAAACAGAAAGACTTATCAGGAGCCTTGGCTTGCCAAAGGCACATGGTGTCTCTGGTCCTCAGGCTGAAGAGCCTTCCTCGGAGGCTACATGGCTATAGAACTTAGGAGCAGGGACGAGCGGAGGAAATACAACTTCTATCGACTCCCTCATTTGGCTCCCCAGGCTGGCAGCCCTCCTCCAAGGCCACACAGACCCCCTCCAAATCTGCGTCACCTGTTCCAGATGGCCTTCCCATCTCAGGGGGAACCAGTATGGCAAAACACACCCATTTCCCACCCACACCTCCAAGTTGATGCTCATGGCCTGTGGGGCTCAGGTCAGCTTGGTGCCCCCTGGTATTTCCAAACCAGAGAGCCCATAGTGGGCACAGCCACCCTGGCCCTTGAGAAGCAGCCAGGAGTGAGGAGCAGAGTGCTAGACCTGCAGGGGCAGAGGTGGGGAGGCCAAGCTCAGTTACCTGTCTGTGCTGTGGAGGGGAAGAGGCTAATTATGAGGTTTAATAAAAAATCATCTGGGAAAGCAGTTTTCAAACTCTCTTTCTTTCTCTTTAGCAATAGAAACCTGCCCCCTTCCTCCATAAGACATCTTATCACAGATCCTAACATATAAAAAAGATGAAAGGAGAGCCACTCTGGGTGGTCCAGCAGCAGGAACTTCCCTGGAGCCTGCCCACCTGCCTCACTCTCTGCTCGCACAGAGGCCCGTAAGAACATGGTCACAAAGGACTCATCCATGGGGCTGGACAGTGGGGCCGTCCAATCAGTTAACAGTTCCGCTCCAGTCCATCCACAATCGACAGACTGGGTTTCTTTTCCTTCTCTCCCGCCCTTGCTGGAGAAGGCAGGAAGAGCGGTGAGAGGACCAGGGAGACAGAGAGGGGCTGGCGCAAGCTTAGGTTTGAAACGTCAGAAGAGGCGCGCTTCCCCCCAGGTAAAGGGAGCGGCCCTGACACATCCAGTGTGCCGTGCGCAGCCCAGAGGAGCTATCAGAGTGTTTCGACAGCAGGGGCCCAACAGAGAGCTCACCCCTCTTCCCCGAGGTCTCCTGCGGCTCCTGCCACACCCCAGGGGGCTCTGCAGAAGACAGCAGGGGGAGGGGGGTGAATGAGGAGAAACCAAGCTTGTTCTGCTTTTGGAAATTCTTATTCCAGGATCCCTCTACCCAGAGGCCATTTGCATGTATTCACCAGGAGACTAGAGTGTTCTGTTCTATTTGGTAAGAGGTCCAGAGAGACTCTTCCACAAGGCCCCCTTGGTCATGAATGTTATTCCTTATGGGATCCTGTGGGAGCCCCAGAGAGAAAGGCTGGGTGGCGTGACAGAGCTGCCTCCAGAGAAGCCTAGGAGGCCAGCGTTAGCACCCTGGAATGTGAAGGCCCCAGAATCACCTGTACCACCTGTGAGGCTGCTGCTTGAGTTTCAGAGCCCGTCACCTTTGGGTGTTCAGATTCCAAGTGGCCATCAAGCTGGGCCTGCGAGGTGAAGAGCTCCCCGCAGAGCTCACAGGGGAAGGTGCTCTCCGACTGCTTGAAGTGCTCTGTTGTGACATGGTGCTGCAGTGCTCCGGGGAAGCGGAAGGTAGCTGCACAGTACAAGCACCTGAACGGCTGTGACCCTGGAAGAGGGGGATGGAAAGGACAGGCTGTGGGCGGAACGACCAAGAGGAACAAGAGCAGTGACAGGGGAGAGGCAGGGGTGCAGAGGCAGATCTAGGTTTTGGAGGACTGTGGGGGGTTCTCTTTAGGAAAAATAATGCAGGGGCGCCTGGATGGCTCAGTTGGTTAGGCGTCAGACTTCAGCTCAGGTCATGATCTCATGGTTCATGGGTTTGAGCCCTGGATTAGGCTCTATGCTGACAGCCAGCTCAGAGCTTGAAGCCTGTTTCAGATTCTGTATCTCCCTCTCTCTCTGACCCTCCCCTGTTCACGCTGTCTCTCTTTCTCTCAGAAATAAATAAAACATTTAAAAAAAAAAAAAAAGGAAAAAATAATGCAACATTACAGCTACAAGAATAGGTCCCAAGCAGGTGAGGGCTCTGGAGCACAGCAGATCCAGGCCAAATCTGCCTGTGTGAAGCCCATTCTTCATGTAACTATAAATATGGATGCTGACAATACTACACTTCATCAACTCCAAGAGGCACATCCTAACATCTCTGACGAGGATCCAAAGGCATCTTACGACTGCTGTGGGCTAGGCGGCAGGAGGGTGCGCAATCACCAATGACCACACATGTACAAATGTCTAAAGTGCAGAGTGTGCATCCGGGACTTCGAAGGAAATCCCTGAGATGGGAGTGGTGCACGTTTTTAACTCCCAGGAGGAACACGGCTGAGGAGGCGCGGTGAGGGGTGGTTGCTCAGCTACTTCCCCAGAGCAGGAATCAAAAGTAGGCGAGTTCTCCCTAGTGCTCAAGGGACCAACACCAACGGCCTGCGTGTGTCCGTCAGCGGTGCCGCCGATGCGGAGCACACACCACGCCCAACGACTCGCACCCCGACCATCGGAACTGAGAGCTACTCCAAGAGGCTGGATGCTCACCGTCGCGTACTCCTACCCTCCTCCTGATGTGCACACACACGAGTGTGCACAGTCTACATCACTGTAAGTCCCAAACAGCCCTTAGAATAGCCTGCAAAGGCTAAGTGACAATAGAGTCTGGTTTAATTGGCAGCAGTTTTTCTTTCCTAATGGTTCATTAAAAACCAGCACTTCAGATCTGGTGCGATACGGCCGTAACAGTGATGATGGCGGTAGCGCTTGAGGGATGCTCACTGGTGCCACGTCTCACGTATTTTCTGGGCACTAACAGATTCGGTTTGTAGTTACATTGTGAGGAAAGAGGAACTACAATTGTCCCTTTTGTATAGATGAGGAAGCTGAGGCATGGCGGGGATTAAGTGTCCTGGACCGCACAGCTGCAAATGGTGGGGAGGAGCTGCCCGGGGCGGTGTGGCACGGGAGCATCTTAGAAGGGCGCTCACCTGAATGCTGGCACTTGATGTGAACCTGCAGCAAAGCTGGCGTGGGGAATAGCTCCTTACATTGGTCACACTCGTGGAACTTCATGTCTGCAGAGCACACAAGGAAAGAAGTGCTGGGAACAGACAAGATGATGGCCCTCTCGGGCTGGAGAGGGGCAGAGCTGGGGGCGGCGGCGATGGCTGACACTTAGCAAGCGTCTCCCCAGTGCCGGGAACCTCACGCCTATGATCTGTTAGTGCTGCCTAGTGTAAAGAGCCCCAGATCGGAACCAGGCTGCCTGGAGGAAAGTAGGGCTGCTGTGAGAAGGGAAAGAGAAGGTGCCCACCAGTGCTAAGTGTGCACCTTGCAGCCAGGAGAGGCTTCGAGGCTGCAGTGATTATCCTCACAGACTGACCCGAGTATTAAGTCAGTTCTTAATACAGAAGGAACCTGGCTCAGAAAAGAGAGGTCACTTCCCAAGGTCATGCTGCTGATCAGTGCCAAAGTCAGGAGTCTGCCACTATAGCTGCCACCCTCCCTGGGTACCATGATGCTCACTCTCCCTCAGGGGCCCACAGGAGCTTACAGTGCACCAGGTCTCCAGGTTCGAGAACCACCGCCACTACACTACCGCTTACTGTTACCGATGGGCCAGTGTGGCCTCCACCGGGGACGCTGGGACAGAACGAAGTCCGTTTCCACAGCACTCCACACCGCAGCCCGGGAAGTCGGGATTGCAGACAGAGCTCAGGACACCGTCATCCGGCCCCTCCCACCCCTCAGCTCGCCCGTCTACAGGTGACCTGACTTCACCTGCATGCTCCGCTTTGATGTGCTTCTTGTGCTCAACCGTGTTGGAAAAGGCTTTGTCACAGGAGCTGCACTGGAGTGACGAGAACTTGGAAGACCGGTGGTTCTGAGCGGCAAACACATCAGGGTGGTGGGTCCGATTGTGGTACCACAAACCAGACAATTGCTGTAAGGAATACGGCACATGTTAAGTCTTAGAAAGTTCTGGCAAGCTGGAGAGCTCCCAGGCCCTCGTGAGACAAATGAGCTTATGGATCTCAACTCATACTCTTACTGTCACACAGAAGGCCCACGTGAGAGGAAAGACTGGCATCTGTGGGTCCAAGGCACTGGTGGCCCAGAGGCCGCTATGGGTCAGGGCTCAGCCTGACCCTTCAGGAACCCTCTCCCCTCATCACCAGCCTGTGAGCCTTTCTGGTGAGGTGGAGGCTGAGAGGCTAAATGACCTGCCCAACGTCATATGACTTAGTAAACAGCATGGCCAGAACTCATACCCTGGCTTTCCAGCCAGAATGTCTGCGATGCATGGCTCTGACTCCCAGAGGCCCAGAGAAGAGCTGCGACCCTCCTCGAGCAGGAGCGTTGGTCATCACTGCCCCATAAGCAATGGCTCCTCCTGTCCAGGCTGCAGAACAGTCCTGAGACAGCCCCCCTACAGCCCCACCTTCCTAGGGGCCAGGCCCAGGCCTTGTATCACAGCAGCAGCTTGGTACAAAGTTAGTGCTCTGTTTCTGCTGGGCTAGATTAGCTGCTTCTCTCCATGCACCCAAGTCTTAGGGACGTCACAAGAACCGTTCTTCCCTTTGCAGTTTTAGAACTGAGTTTCTCATGTGTGGTTTCTTTTTAGTTCCATATGGGGTTTCCCTTTAATGTTATACCAAATTCGAAGATGAAAAAGCAGACCCCTTCGCTAGGAGTTAAACAACAGCAACAACCACCCAGTAATTGTGCTAAATGAGGGACTTCCGGGCAGTTAACACTGACAGCCCACTGTCACTCACATCCCCTGACACTCGGGGCCAACAGGCTCCACAGAGTGTGAATGTCCGCGGGAAAAAGCAGCATTGGGTTCGTGACAAGGCTGAAACCTAAGAGAAGAGGTGGAGGAATTCTCGGCTCCAATTAAAGCTCCCAACTGCATTACTCTGACCAGATCACCCGAGAGAATCGGAGTAATTACAAGCCGCATCCTTCATGAGAAGCAGCCACACCATCATCTCCAGGGGCCATGGCAGGTCGAAGGGGGAGGGCAGCCTGGGGACAGGGGGAGGCGCTCCTGGGGGAGCCCGTGGTCACCTGGTAGGCCTTGTTGCAGATGCCGCAGCTGAAGGGCTTCCCCCCCACGTGGGTCACCATGTGCCGCTCCAGCATGGAAGGGGCGCTGAAGATCTTCCCGCAGGTGGGGCAGGGGTGGTACTCCTTGGAGTGGACCTCATGGATGTGCTTGCGATGGTCCTGCAGGGTGGGGAAGCTCATCCGGCATTTCTTGCAGTCGTAGGGATCTTCTATGTCTGGTGTGGCGGCACATGGTGAGAAGAGATGGAGGGAGAAGATACGACAGGCAGCAGTCAGGGAGGTACGGGCCGTGTACAGCTCCAGGCGCAAGACTCCGTTTAGATGTTGGGCACGGCCGCAGACTCCAAGGACCAGCTGCGAGTGCAGTGGTCACCTGACGGCCCCCTATCTTCGTCCCGGGAGGAGGGCCTTCCCAAGGCTTCTGCACTAACCACCTCTGCGGCATCGAGCCGTTCATCCCAATTCCTTGCGTTACCTCCTACAAGTTAAATTCCATTTCACTACTTTGCAGGGAGTATTGCCCTTGCTCTTGCCCTACGTGCAGTGGGCATTTCTGAGTTTTCTCATTTTGTACAGAGATTTCCAACAAACTCCCCGGAGCAGGCTATTTCCTTTCCTGTCAGCATATGACTGACAGAAGGATGCTTCCTTGCTCCTTGCCTCAGATTCAACAAAAAACACATATCCAATGTTTAATGAGTGCCCTACAACAGGCATGTCTTAAGTGCCTTACAAATATTAACTAGCTTTATCCTTCCAATAATCCTGTAAGTGGGATCCATTATCATCCTATTTTAGAGATTAGGAAAACAACGCTTAGAGAGTGTCAGCCCAATGACACAAGCAGGAATGGCTGAACTGGGTGACAGTCCCAGCTCTCATTACCACGGCCGTGCTCTGGGCCACCTGCTTAACTGGACATGCCAACTCTTCAGTGAGGCCTCAAAACTAAGAACTAGCACTGATGTAGGAAACGTTTGTGTCCCTATGGCAGGAAACTGCAGTTTATTTTTTCTGAAAGCAGCAGAAAGCAGAATGTTTTAATCCTTTGCCCACGAGCCAATCTTACATGTGCACCAAGTCAGATTAATTCAGGAATTTGGACACGCAGCAGCACTCTGTATCATTAACTAGTTTCCCTGTGGACATGAGCCCTTGAAATCTCAGTTTACACTGCCTGTGAAAGCGCTTTGAAGCATTCTACATAAGCTGTGATGCTGCATGTGACCCGAGTAAGGACAGTTCAGGGGAGGGGCCTGTGACCCAGGTAAGGACAGTTGAGGACAGGGGTCTGTGACCTGGGTAAGGACAGTTCACAGGAGGGGCCTGGATGCTGGCCTGCCACCAATGACACTTCCTAAGACATAGAAGTCTTTGGGGTCCTCTTCATCCTGACAGCTGATCAGTCCTGCCCTCTCCTCTCGCCCCTGTAATGCTACCCGGAAAAGGAGACCAGAGGAGCATGGCATTTAAAAAGGCTGAAAGGACATAAAATTATGGCACTAGATCCAAGGCAGATCTCACTCTTCTGGAAGTCTCACAAGCTGGACAGGGGGGCCCGGAAGCATCTTGGGGGAAAGGGGCAACCCTCTAGATGCCTCCTGCGTTGCCCAGTGTCCAGGCCCATGCTGGGCACAGAGGAGCCTCGACAATGTCTTTTGCTGGCTGGTGGATAACAGATCTGCGTGTGTCGACATTAAGCACATGTTTGTGAGGCACTGTATTTGCCGACAGCTAGAAACTGGTGTGTGGGAAAGAGGTGGGGAGGGGAGAAGGGAGTGGGGTATGCAGGGTGCGTGACATGCTAGAGAGACTGAATTTGATGGTGACAAATGGCATCTGGGAGGGTTGCTTTTATCACCGATAATAACATCTGGCATTTACTGAGCATTTCTGTGTGTGAGCTTTACATGGGTACCTCACTAATTCTCACAGCAACCTAAGGAGGCGGCATTATTACTTCTTCTCATTTACAGAAGGGGTACAGGAGGCTTAGAAAGGTAAAGAAATCTGCTTAAGGTCTCAAGGAAGTAAATGGCAGGCTCAAGATTCAAGTCCACGCCCGTGTGACTTCAGAGCCCAAGCTCCTAACTCCCGGGGCCGTGGCACTGAGCACACGTCTGCTATTGGAGAAGACACAGTGAGGCCACAGCCAGACACCATGCTGGCCACTACCTGAGGCTGGAATGAGGGCACAGAGCTTTCCTTACCTTCCCACCTGTGTGCTCAACAGAAGCATGTGCTTATATCAGTTCCAGTAGAAGGGGACAAAAACGGGGGCAGACTCCACTAACTGAGTGGCGAGGGGAGACCGCTGGGCACAGGCTTTCAGGGCGGCGTGAGCAGGGACCAAGTACGATGGTGTGTGTGAACTCAGGGAGCGTGCGGTTGCTCCGGTGGGGAAGGTGGGGAGGACTATGAGAGGAGTGGGCACAGAAGGGGCGTGGAAAGAGAAGCAAGGTGGACTAATAGGAATATTCTGGGGCTCGGCAGCCTGTTATCAAGGCTCTCCTTCAGACATAATTTGCCTTTGTCAGCCAAGCAGTGCCAGGTGGGCTAAAAAGGAGACATGGAAACAGCCTGGACATTATACAATGACATGTTAAAATGGGATTTTTCTTGAAATAGGAACGAGAGACTCGGTTCTGCAGGAGAACAGGGGAGGGGAAGGCACCAATGGGGCCTGGCTCTGGTAGAGTGACATCTTCTGTCATGGTTGTCACATGCCTTCTCAGAGCCAGGCCTGGCGCTGAGTGCCCGACATCCACCATCTCGGTACGTACTGTGAAAGGTGTGTAGGTGGATGGACAGGCCATTGGCTTGCCGGAAGCCCTTGCCACAGTCCCTGCAGACATATGGCTTGTCCCCAGTGTGGGTCCTCACGTGGCGGGACAGCTCAATGGACTGGGCGAACACAGCATCACAGTACTGGCAGGCATACATTTTCCCTGGAAACATATGGGAATTCACTCATTAGAAACGGCACCAAACCAACCAAGATCACACCGGAAGGCACGTGCTGGGGAATATGAGCTGAGAGAGGACACTACACCACGAGCAATCTGCAGCACACTGGGGGACAGGTCTGAGCCTGTCTATCAGATGGCAGCACACAGCTGATGGCACAGTGTGGTCTCTCTCCCCCGAGGAATAAGGACAGTTCTCACCCCACAGACTACCCATCTGCTAACCAGGCCACCCCAAGTATGGAAGAACTCGATCCACTCCCAGGAAGCAGATACATCCTCATGCCCAGAAATTCCAAAGTCTGGATCCCTTGCCACATCCACAGTGCAGCATCGCGACTTCACATAAAGGTGACAGACGGGGACTCAGAGAATGGAAGTCTTCTCCTGTGGACTTGCTATACAGTTATTACAAATCATTTGGCTTCCCTATTTTCTCATGCACATTCTGAGAATACAATGACCAGATTGCCCACGCCTGTTAGAAAATACAGGTACAGAGCAAGGCTGGGAAGCTGGCATTTGTAAAAAGTCACTAGACCAGCTGTGCCTCCAACGTCCATGATGGGCCAACAGATAAGTGGAGAAATCAGTGAGGCAAGGGTCCCGGTCCCCCAAACCCCAGGGCCAGCTTCAACAAGAGCAATCAATGCCATTTTCATTGTTTCATTGTTGGGCTTTGCAATAAGATTTGTTAGGAAAAGAAGGGTTTATTCAATCAAGAGTGGAATTATTAAGAAGCCCAGGACTCAGCCCTTAGCCTTCTTCATTCTCACTTTGTGGAGGGCCTTATCTCAGATACCATCTGTACCCTGACGGCGCCCGTTTCTGTCTCCGGCTCCCAACTTTCCCCAGGACTGAGGACCCACACATCCAACTGCCTACTCCTCGCCTTCTCCACCTGGAGGTCTCACAGATATGGCAGACTCAGCTCCCAATTCTGTCCCCAGCACCCCCAGAACTCCCCCCGCCCTCCCCCACGCCCTCCGGGTTCCTCACTGCAGTGAAGGCAGCACCACATCCTCAGCTGCTCAAGCTGGAAACCCCAAGCTGTCCTAAACCCCCCACACACACACCCGCACCCAGCTCAGCACGGACCCTGTCACTTCCGCATCAACAACACACTGTCAAACACGAACAGTTTACAGCCACCCCAGCACAGCCCCAGCTGGAGCCCCGTCACCTCCACACAGGATGCCTGGCCCACCCTGTCTCCCTGTGCACACTCTTGCCCTATTACAGCTGACAGGCTGGAATGGACAGAATTAACCCCCAAAACCCTAAGTCACAGCCTCTGGCTCCTCTGCTCACAACTGTCCTATGGTCCCCAAGGACGTACACTTGGGAATACGCCCAAGAGGGCGGAATACGTCCAAGAGGGCGGAATACGTCCCCTCCCATGGCAAAAGGGGCTTTGCAGATGTGATTAAGTTAAGGATCTTGAGATGAGATTATTCTGGATTATACCAGCAGGCCCACACAATCACCAGGGTCCCTGGAAGAGGGAGCGAGGAGGGTCAAAGGAGGCAGGGGGAGGAGGGACACAGAGGTCTCGGCACCAAGGCCACGAGCCGGGGGAGGCAGATAACCTCTAGAAGCTGGGAAAACAAGGAAAGAGCTCTCCCCCAGGGCCTCCAGAAGGAACACACTTGCCAAAACGCGGACTCTACACTCATTAAAGCTTCTTTTAACCTCCAAAATGGCAAGATGATACATCTGCATTGTTTTAAGCCACTGTGTATAGTCATTTGTTACAGCAGCAATAGAAACTAGCACGTTCTGCATAAAACCAAAGTCCTAACCTTGACTTACAGGATCTTTACCGGCACCTGGGTGGCTCAGTCAGTTAAGCATCCGATCCTTGGTTTTAGCTCAGGTCGTGATCTTGAGGTTGGTGAGTTCGAGCCCCACATCAGGCTCTATGTTGATGGTGCTGAGCCTGCTTGGGATTCTCTATTTTCCCTCTCTGCCCCTCCCCTACTTGTGCTCTCCTCCTCTCTCTCTCTGAGTAAACAAACAGACTTAATAAAAACAAGACCCTTATAAGACCTGGCCTCTGGCAACCTCTCTGGCCTTGTTTACTCTGCTTTGGCCCCATCTAGTTTCCTTGTGGTTTCCCAAACAGGTAAGGCTCATCTGCGCTTGTGACACTCTTCTAGATCTGCCCGATTTCAGTTCTCACTTCACTTGAGCATCTACACAAACCTCACTTCGCTGAGGCCTCTCTGATGACACCGAGAGCCCCCCTCCCAACCTTGACAGTCTCCTGCCACTCACCCTGCTTTATTTCTCTTCAGAGCGATTACTATGATCTGAATATATATCACACGTTTATTCGTTTACAGTCTCTTTTACCCAATAGACTGTAAGCTCCCTGAGAGCAGGGTGTGTACAGTTCCACTACCCCTGGTACCTGGAATCGTGCTCAAGCAATTCTTGCAGTCAGTAAATGTTTACTGAGTGTCTACCTACTACTGCTAAGTACTATTCTAAGTTCCAATGATACAGCAGTGGGGGGGGGGGGGGCCGGAGACTAGCAGCCCTACTCTCATGGAGCTGGCATTCTGACCGGAGGAGACCCACTAGAAACATACTAAATTAATGAAGTAGATAATATAGCCTGTGACAAATACTGTGGAGAAAGGCAATGCAGGGGAATGGGGGGCTGGGGCTGAGATTTCACATGGGCGCGCGGGCAAGGACTCACGGGAAGAGGTGTGAATAAGGAGCTGAAGGGAGTGAGGAGGGATGGAAAGCAAGCATTTCAGGCTGTAGTGGAGCAGGGTGGGGGCAGGGGAGGGTCCTGGGGGACCCTGTCACTCAGAGCCTGACAGGCTATCGCAAAGCCTTCCGATTCTCCACCAAGCCAGGTGAAGAGCCTCTGCAAAAAGGTTTTGGGCAGAGAAGGGAGAGGATATGGTTTTGTTCTGAAAGGATCCCTGGGGCCTGTGCACCGAGAACACGGTCCAGGGAGTGGGGGAGAGCCAGGCGGCCAGTTAGGTGGCCACTCCCACCGTCTGGGTGAGATGAGGTGCCGAACAATGCAGAGAATCCCCCGAGAAGCCTTCTCTGACACCGCACCTCCCCTCCGACTGGCCCAGAAACCCCTCCCTCACTCTTCCACCTCCCGGGGCCATTCCCTGTCCCACCACGGACGGCTCTGCACTGCACCTGTCTCTTTCCCAGAGACACCCTGGACCATCAGCTCTGTGAGCACAAGAAATCTGGCTTAGTCACTGAGCCCCTGCCACTGCCTGCGCCATAGCAGGTGCTCAGCCAAGGCTCTTCTCATGCTTGAATTCCACCTCAAAGCTCAAGAAACTGCTGCCTTTACATAGATGCTAACTATGAGGTCACCAGCCTCTCTTCACAGCCCTTGCCAACAGCGTTCGGCATGCCTGGGCACCTGTGTTCCCTGGCCATCCACGTGCCCAGAGGCTGCGCACCATGCTGTTTCTAAGCTACCTGAGATCTTTAGCATGCCTAGACCCAAGAGGGTTTTTAGGCAGTGCGTACAGTTAACGTTGGCAGGAAAAGAGAAGAAATTCCCCGGGCCTTGCCTTCTGAGTGCTTCTTCTTGGTGTGATAGGCCAGGGCGGAAGCCTGGGTAAAGGTCATAAGGCAGTGCTTGCACATGAATGGGCGGTCCCCGGTGTGAAGGCGAAGGTGGTTCTTCAGGGTGGAATTGGCGGCAAACTTGGCCCCGCACTCTTCACAGGAGAAAGGCTTCTCATCAAAGTGCTCTGTCAGTTTGTGGTACTGCATGCCTGGGGACCAGAGGGACACCGGTAATCAGTATGATGAAGCCAGTAGGGGGATGTGACACAGTGTTCGAGACCAGGCCTGGGAGGATGCACAGCACAGACCATGGGACAACAGGCTGTGCTCCCTCTGAACCCCGCAGCCATGCTGCTCACCTACCCGCTGCCCAGCACCCCCAAGGTCACCATGGTCCACCCCTGTTTGGTTCAGGCATTAAATGTTCTGGGTTCATCTTTCCCATCCCCACTTTTTCTTACATAGCATCTGCCACCCGGAAACAGAAAAACGAAACTCACTCGATGCTTTGTCAGGTTTCCCCGACACCTGGGACAAGGGTAAGCAATTCTGACTAGACGTCCCGTGGATTCTGTGACTTATTTATTATCAAGAAACAAGTAATCACGGAAACCTAGCTGGCTGTCATTATGAAATAATGGCTACAATTCACAAAGTCCTGACCCTATGGTAGGTATTGTACATAGGTGTTTCACTATACCACCTGAAATCTTTACAATTCAAAAAAGTGGGTGCTCTCAGGGCACCTGTTTAACAGGTGGGGGAACTGACAGAGCTGATTCCTGAGCTCAGGCTCTTCTCGAAACACGACCCAGCCTCTGTGGGAGCCCGTCCATAGCCCTTACTGCGTACAGTGAGGTACGAGGCCTGGAGCCCAGACTACAGTATCCAGAATTATCACCCTCTTAAGTTACTTCGCCTTCCTGGAAGTACCTGAGGCATGGGCAAATTCTCTCCCACAGAGGTCACACGTCACCGGAAGCCTCTTCTTCTTCTTCTTCGGGACATCGGGCTCCCCTCCGCCACCATGGGCCTCCAGCTGGTGTTTTTCCAGCTCCTTCTTAGACTCCTTGGTCTCACTGCACTCCTTGCACTGCACCTGTCGGCTCTTGGCCACGCGGCAGCGCTTCATATGCACCTTCAGACGGCAGTAGAAGTGGAAGCTTTTGTCACAGGCCTTACAGACGAAGCTCTTCTTGGCAGCGTCGGGGGAGGCAGACATGTCTTTCGCTTGCGGCTCTGGCACAGAGTCAGTCTCTCCTGGACGGCTCTGTGTCTCAGACCGGCAGCCTTCCTCCATTGGCTCGGCCACCTTCTCACTGTCATTGAGTATGCGCTGAAATTTATTGCTCACTTTCCACCTTTCCTTCTCTCCACTCTCCTGAGTAAGGAAGCCTGCATATAAGAGAAATCACATGGCTCTGGAAATTCTCTTGTGTTTCTACTTTGCTTCCTAATTAGGGAAAACTGGAGACTACTTGGGACCCTCCTCAAACTCAGAAGCAATGCCCCTGTCATCTGGACTTTGCGATACACATACAGAGCATCATTTTACACCTACGCCTAGGACTCCTCCAGGTACTGGGAGCATCCAGGAGAAGTGAGGCAGCAATGGACGAACTCTTGTGTGAACCGCTGCCTCTTCTCTCCAATCTGGAAACACCCCATGGGCCTGACAGGACCCCCACCCCATTCTGCTCCTTACCACTGCATGCTAGCTCTTGCATGACCGGCTGCAGGCCTGGGAAAGATCTGTGGACGCGGCACAGGAGGTGACATAGTTCAAGGGCTGAGACAGATTTTTCCATGGCTCTGCTCAGCACTGCTTTCAGGGAAGCTTCAGGGCTGGCTGTCTCGGGGGAAATGCTCAGAATCTAAATGAATACCAGGAGACAAAGGTTTGTGGTTAATATCAGCAGTTTTCTCCATGGTTTTCAACTTAGGGGAAAAATAGCTTATTTCAGGGTGGCATTACTCCATCTATAACAAGTTTACATGTCTTGTGATGAATGTGGTAGAGAACCTCTTTTCCCAAAGAACAGGGAAACTGGCAAAAAAAAAAAAAAGGAGACACAGTCAAGACAGATGTGTAAATACAAAGAAGGTACAAGCAAAGAGGCACTGAGCATTTTCTCTGAGAAATATTTTCTCAGAAATCAGGAGTCTCCAAAAGAACTCTTCTAGATCTTAATATTAAAGGCTCGAAAAGCTGTAGGATTTGGTAGCTCGTGGTTCTGTCTTGAAGATCGAGATCATTTTTCATAATATATAATTGTCTCAATGTCTGCAAGTAATTCTGCATGATCAGTGGCTTCACATTTTTAGACACTTAGATGTACCCTTTTAAACATTTTCTTTCATGAAAAAAACTCAGCTTTTTAAAGAAGGTTCAAATAGGGGCTTTAAAGAGGCCAAGAATATGATTTCAAAGCCACCGTCTTTCAGAATGTTACAGCTATCAGCAGAAAGAGTCAGTACACTGAGAAAATAAAGCTAAACCATCCACAGATGGCCAAATGGAATTTTTGTTCAGGAAGACATTTTATTTCTGCTCTTTTCAAGTCTATCTAAATAAACCTGATCTCCCAGGAGGCAGGCCTGAGACTCATTAGCAAGGCTCAAACTCATCAACTGCAGGAGCCCCGTTCCTCAAGCAAGAGGCGAGCTGGAGAGAGCCTAGCGGGGTATCCTTCCTCTGAAGCCCCACAGAAAAACGCACCACCTTCTCTACATCTGAAAGTCAGGCCAAGGTGGAGCTGTCACCTGCGTGGACAGAGCTAGAAACTAGCCCTTCTGCAAGCCATCCATGCCAACTTGGATTAAAAAGCACTACAGGTGAACTTGTAGTTTAATTTTAGTCCCTTTAGAATTCTTCCCCCCTCGAGAAGCACACAATCCTGGGCTGGACAACCATGAATCCCCCTCCGTCCCCACCTGGTTTTTCTGGGTTGGCGGCCACCCAGAGAAGCCTTACAGAAAATGAGCTGGCACTATTTGCTACCCCATATGGGCAAAAGCTTTGTTCTAACTATGTTTATCTTGGCTCTTCCTAGACGCCAGAAGAGCATGCAATAAGACCGATTTTACTTTCCTTTCTCTGAAAAGCAGTTGCATCTCAGAACATGTTAGAGAACAGTTCGTGGTTCCCCGAGTTTACCTAAGTTTGAACAAATGAAATACAGCTAGGTTTGAGTCACATGAACCTGGGTTCAAATCCTGGCTTCAACTCTGGCCATCCTAGACATGCTACTGAACTCTCTGGAGCCTGAGTTCCCTTATCTATAGAATGTGGAGGACATTGCCTGCCACACAGTTGGCAGAATCACAAAACAAAGAGGTGCTGTGAGGTGCTGGCTCGGCACGGGGCTCGGCATGCAACAGGCACTCTGCAGAATCTGGTATCTCCCTTAGGAACAAGAGCATCCCAGGCCTGGTAGAACTGTCTGGAACAATGTTTGATCTGCACCTCCTTCACAGCCTCTGCAAGCTGCCCCTCCTCTGTGGTAAAGCACTTGCGTCCAGTCCCTTGTTGGATGGCCTCCAGGATCAGCCTGTGATGCCTCAGCATGGCTTCTAAGGCCGCACTTTCTGGGTTGGCCGCTGAAAGAGAGGAGGATTAACAAGTCATGAGTGGAACTCTGAGCACCATTTTCCCTTCACCCTTTCTCATCTCAACTCTTCACAGTGAGAATACACTTCACTGATCTCCTTCCGGGGGCTGGGAGTGGGGGAGAGGGCAAACATCACTGCAATTACAGTTCAATTAATATAAACTTAGATTTCTGCTTATTTTCAAAGGTTCACAAGCCCCCATGTCCTTGAACAAAACTGCCAGCCCTTCCTTCCAGTGGTGGGGATGTGGAGGATGACCGTAAGAGAGCTCTTTCTAGTTTCCAGCCAGGCTGACGATAATTTCTACCAGGGGCAAAGCTAGGACAGAGATCAGGTAGCCTACCTGCCCGGAAGAAAGCATCAGCACCAGGCTCCCGTTTTATTTCCTCCATGAGCAGGTTCAATGGGCCAGTCTTTGTCTCCTGAGCCACCAGCAGCAGTTGCCAAATGGCTGTTGCAGAGACAGTCTGCTTTTCTAGAACTGCTGACATCAGAGAACTGAAGCCACCCGAGCCAGAGTCCTGTTTCACAAGCTTCTCCATGACCTTCAAGATGTGGCACAAAAACACAGTAAGGGACTTTCTAGCCACCAGCCAAACTCCAAAGCTGCAAGTCTGAGTCCTGGGTACAGTGTACATACTTCTGGGGAGAGGTTTTTGAACATCCTTCACCTCCCAACCTGAGAGACCTTTATACAAGACAAAGCTCTTCACACTTCCTTTTGAATGCCTTTCTTATTACGGCAGAAGTTACAACTTCCAACTTATCACTATGCCCGAGAAATTAAATCACCTTGCTTTCCTTCTCCTCTACTAACCCCTTAGCATTTCTCAGTATGGCTGTGTGTGTATTTATGTAAAATATATTTTTAAAGTATGCATACATGTTCATCTTTTTTCCGTCTCTCATTTTACCCACCCTCCCTCCCTTCTCCCCTTCTTTTTCTCTTACCTCTCTTTCTCCAGGGGCTAAACCCTTCATGTGTGGGATCATTTTTAACAACATCTGGTTGTCTGTGAAAATCTCTGAGAGGTTTTCGTGATATCGTCTCAACAGCTCAGTCCCATAATCATCGGGGCTCACTTGGACTGCAGGAATATTAGCAAAACAATAATGTTTGCGACAACGAAACACCCTTCCAGGCTTTTCCTACACCAGATTAGCGGAGCCGAAAGAGGAGAGCTGTAACACCAGCATGCTGTCTCCTCTGGAAGGCAAGTTTGGCTCCCAGTTGGGGCCCCACACATGTGTTCAGATCCCCCTTGGTATTCCCTTAATCACTTGGTGCTTCAGGGTCGCAAAACCACTAATGCTTTGAAAGTCAGAGCCCAGTGGTCGAAGCCAGTGATTGCTCAACAGGGAGGTAATTAGAAGGCGCGCTTGTGAGAGATGTAGAGATACAGATTTAAGGGGTGTTATTCCTCGAGCCTGAGGTCAAGGATCCATGCAGCAATCCAAAACACTAGCAGGCGTGAGTCAAGACTCTGGTAGTGAAGCTATAGTTAAGCTTTGTGTATATGCCCTTTGAGCCAATCTGTTAGTTACTCTCTCTTAAAAGGTCATATTTAATTTAAAAGTAAGAAAACTAAAAATCAGCATTTCCTTTAGGTTTACAGATATTTAAGAAAGCATGTTCCTCTTTGGCCCTGTAACTCCACTTCTGGGAATCATGCCTTACGATGGGGGCGCCTGGCTGCCACAGTCAGCGGAACATCAGATTATAGATCTTGGGATTGTGAGTTCAATCTATACATTGGGCGTAGAGATCACTTAAAAATAAAATCTTTTCTTAATTTTTTTTAATGTTCTATTTCTGAGAGAGAGAGAGACAGCATGAGCAGGGGAGGGTCAGAGAGAGAGGGAGACACAGAATCTGGAACAGGCTCCAGGCTCTGAGCTAGCTGTCAACACAGAGCCCGATGCGGGGCTCGAACCCACAAAGGGTGAGATCATGACCTGAGCCAAAGTCGGCCACCCAACCAACTGAGCCACTCAGGCACCCCAGAAATAAAATCTTAAAAAAAAAATTTTCAAAACACTTTTAAAAAGGGAGGGAGGGAGGCACCTGGGTAGCTCAGTGGGTTGAGCTCAGTGGGTTGACTCTTGAGTTTGGCTCAGGTTCTAGCTAGGGTCGTGGGATCGAGCCCCGCATCAGGCTCTGTGCTGAGTGTGGAGCCTGCTTGGGATTCTCTCACTCCCTCTCCCTCTGCCCCTCCCCCATTCGCATATATGCACTCTCTTTCTCTAAAAAACAATAAAAAATTAGAAATAAAAAAAGGAATGCTCTGAAGGCAAAAAGTCTGTGTACAAAAGTATTTGTCATTATACAATTTGTGATGATGATGGGAACAGAATATCTAATATTTACATAGTATCTATGATGTGCTAATGAATAAACACTGTGCTAAGTGTTGTACGTACAATATCTCACAGTGGCCACAAAAATTAATGTGATGGGTGCCATTCTTACCCCCATCTGAGAGAGGATTTCTCTTCATGAGGTTCAGAGAGGTTAAGTCATTGGCTCAGGGTCATGCAGCTACCAAATAAGTCAGGATGATAAACCCAGGTAGTCTTTTTTGTTTTTTTAAGTTTGTTTAGTTTTTAAATTTATTTTGAGAGAGAGTGAGGATGGGCAGGCGAGAGGGAGAGTGAGAGAGGGAGAGAGAAAATCCCAAGCAGACTCTGTGGTGGCAGCACAGAGCCCAACGTGGTGCTCAATCCCATGAACCGGCAATCATGACCTGAGCCAAAATCAAGAGTCAGACGCTTAATCGACTGAGCCACCTAGGTGCCCCACAAACCCAGGGGTCTTGAGAGCCCTAACCATTATACTACCTGTACCCCTGACAGGGCAGGAGTAATGCATGATATACACCCTTATGATGGAAAGCTACAGAGCCTTCAAAAATAGGGTTACAGGGAGTTTTTTTGAAGCGTGAGGGAGAATGCTTATGTTATACTGGAGGAAATGATAAAATTATAAAATACAGCAAAATATCTCCACATTGTAAAAATAATGTGACAAAACAGGTCAGTGTCTTAACACTAAAATAATCAAGTGGTAGGGTCTGAGGTTGTTTCCTTCTTTATTTTTTAAATTGTTCAAGTTTGTAGAAGTATTCATTATTTTTATAAGCTAGAAAAAAGTTCTCTCATTTTCCTCATGTGCTCTGGGGTGGGGGAGAACTGGCTGGCCTTGGCCCGTTATCCTAAGGGCTGGGACATGGACTCCGTCCCCCAGAGTGAACGTACACGAGGGCAGTTAGTGCTGGGGACCGCCAGAGCCAAACCGCACTCAAGTGGGAGTGGGAAAATCAAGATCTGAGTCTTCGCTGCTTATCTGTCAACACAGCTTGTCAAAATCACGCGCTCTGTGAGCCCGTCAGCTCCTGAGGTGTTCACGGGTGCCGCCCTGGGAAAACCACACCTTAACAAACCCCGAACCACAGGACCATCGTGAGGGGCATCTCCATGGTGATGGAGCAAGTCTCAGATTTCAGATCGTAAACTCCAGAACTATGGAGAACCGCTGGTTTCTGGCAGCTAGTTTGTTTCATGAGGGCATCTCCTACCATCAGCTCATCTCCCCAGCATGGAGCCAAAAGGGTGTGTAAGCTGTAATTTTCTGGGAGAGGTTCCAGTCCAGAGAGCTGACAATTAACTAATACCTGTGGTGCTTGGCGAAGTGGCTAATTTCTGCAAATTCTCCAGCAGAAGGCCCAAGTTTGGGGACGTAGGTTTCACAGCCTGAAGGAGTTTCACCAAACTCTCTGCAGTCAGGGTCTGGTCTTCAGACACTCTGTGCAGTAGCTTCTCCACGGTCTCCTTGGGCGTCCCACCCTCGCAGCAACTCAGGAGCACCTGCAGCGGCAAGCAATCGGGCCGACACCGGTTACAGGCAACTCGCGTCCGTATGTGTCCGATGCACCGCCGGCGAGCCCAGAAAGAGGGCAGGACGAGGCGCCTGTCCCCAGGTCCTCCTCTGTGGTCTCTAGCGCCACTGTCCCCATAGTCGCTTCCTTGTGTCGTGTCACTACAAATCCCAAGCGTTCTCCAAACAAACAGCCCTGTGGGAATCCTTCCTTCTCAAATGCGGGTCTGTGTATATTCTTTGACCCCTAAAGGTTTGCATTTTGTGAGAAGATTCTCACACAAGGCCTACGCGGCAGAGCAGGTAGCTTGCCTCTCACCTGGTTCTTCAGATTTGATTTGTTCAGACACAGACACCGAGAAACAGACTGGAAGTTCATGAGTACAGTTACAGTGGTTTTCGGCCTCTGTTCAATACAGTACGTGACCATGCTAAGAGGCTGCAATTTCACAGCCATCCTATTATTTTGCTTCCTTTTACTTTATTTGCATAGCAATTTGAATGCCCAGATAAGTTACACGTTAGTCTGTGGCCTCCAAAATAATAGATTTAAAGTGCATTTCTGGATAGTTTTTCTTATAGATTCTGTACTCTCGATCTCTCTTATCAGCTCTACACACACATCAGCTTCAGTCATCAGCCCCCACTTCCACCCCCTTTACTTCCTTCGTGTGCTAGAGGATTTTCTGAGTCAAAAGGGCACAGGTTTCCAGCAAAAGGTTGAAAAATAAAACAAATGACTGTTATTTTACAGATATTTTCCTATTAGAACAGTCCTAATGGACTACGACTCACTATGTATAACTTGGCTCTTCTGGAGCTAATAGATAATGTGGGAGATTTTTTCAACATATATAAACTAGGGATACCTAGTAACCACATTTCCTTTGGGAAAATGCCAGCACTCAGGAGAAACAGTCAAGCAGATCAGTGACAGCAGGTGACAGAGGATGCCATTATCAAATTAACTCCCATTAAAAAATAAATGCAGTTATAAAACCAAATTGGTTTTACATATACATAAGGAGCACCTATGTTATACATATGAAAGGAATGCATACATTATAAATTAAGCTGTCATGTTTCTTGTCAGTACAGAACACAGTCATTCTCTTTGTTCAATGCCTAATATATACTAGATTTCTACTAAATGAATCATAATTTAAAATGAAAGTGTCTCTATCTAAAACCCATACTGATTTCATTGCTATGTTTTAGTTCCTAAGTAATAATCTGATCCATAATGAGGTAGCCAGATACTGACAAGAGTGGGTATAGGCTTTAAAGCCAGACAGGCCCAGGAGGAACCCCAGTCCTAAAATGTATTGCTTGTGTGACCTTGGGTGAGTTATTTAATTCTTTGAACCTTATCTTCCTATCTGTGGAAGAGGAGAACAATAACAGCCCTTGCACAGTTGTTATTAGGAGTCTATAAAGTGAAGTTGCTATTTGCAGAGCCTGACATAACTTCTAGGACATATGTGATCTTTAAATGATAGTGGTTACCAGTATTGTAAGGCAGCACAATGAACAGTGGTTAAGAGAATGTGCTTTGTTTAGAGTTCCTGACTTCCAGTACTGGCACCCAGCGGCTGTGTCTTGGGTGGGCTGCCTAAACTTCTAAAGTGTCTGTTTCTTCATCTCTATTTTATTATTTTTTAAATGTTTATTTTTGAGAAAGTGCAGGTGGGGGAGGGTCAGAGAGAGGGAAATAAAGGATCTGAAGCGGGATCTGCATGACAACAGCAAGCCCACTGTGGGGCTCAAACTCACGGACTGTGAGATCACAACCTGAGCCAAAACTGGGTGCTCGACCTACTGAGCCACCCGGGTGCCCCTGTTTCTTTATGTTTAAAACCAGAGTAATACCCATGACTAAAGTTGCTGCCAGGGTAGAATTCAGTAATGTTTCAAAGGTCCTCAGCACACTGCTCAGCACACAGTAGGCTGTAAGTTACAGACAACTGTAGTAGTTACTATTCTTGTAACTGTTTCCATTCCTGAAATAGAGACATTTCTATTTGCCATTTCCTACAGAACCCAGGGTATGGGTAGATAAGGGCCATGATGCCTCGATCAGCATCATCCTGTAACAGAAAAAAGGTCTAAAAGGGCTGAGTGAATGTTCCCCACAATGTCAAAACATGGTGGCTATTCGATCAACAGTCACCTCTACACTCCTGCTTTATTATTTTGCTTCAAGTTTCATGAGAAGAAGTAGCTTAATGAAGCTCTAGTAGAACCCCAATTCTAAGAAGTATTTTTGCGATTTAGAACTAATTTAAGTTCTTCTGCTTCAGTCCTTTCTGTCAAGTAAACCAAAAGTGACAGAAGAAAATGACAGTGTGGTCTGTCTTGGTGTAGGGAATGAGGCTGAGTTTGGGCTCTTCCTATAAATGCTATTTTACTGAGATAATGAAACAGTTCAAAGGACACATTCAATCTAGCTAATAAGGAAAAGGTTTGAATGAGTAATAGAATGAAATCCCTACACAGGGAATCAGGTACTTCTAGAGCTATAAGCAACTTACTTAAACCGAGTGCCTGAAATGACATTTAATTTTAACTCTAAGGAGAAACCAGAGGTTTAACCTTATTTTGGATACTAGTTTTCTCTAAGAAATTCAAAGGAATTATAATTTTGAAAACATAATTTATAAAACATAATACTGAGATTAAAGATTGCTCCCATTTTATATGAAAAAACTCCAGTTTAAGATCACTGAGAAAGGAGAATCTAGGAGCCAGTCTTCACTACTAATCCAGTGCTCAGCCATTCTACCACTATTTTCTAAACATTTTCTCTTCCCAACATATAAGCCACTTCCCACAGTTTTAAGAATTGATGCCACAGAAGTTCTCTCTCCCTATTTCTTCCTTCCAGATATAAAAATATTTTTAGCACAAAGTTGAAATCAATAACACCAACAAATACAGTTATCTCGTTGACTGGAGAAGTCATGCTAGCAGTTTTATGAGGATTTTAGCAGCTGGCTGGTGGGAGGGTAAATTGGTGCAACCTTTCTGAAGGGCAGTTTGGCAACAGACAGCAAACCCCTGAACATTTTTATACTCTCTCTTCCAAAATCTCACTTCCTAGAAATTACTCCAAGGAAAGAATCTGAGAGGTATGCAAAGATGTGTGTTAAAGGATGTTTCTACCACATCATTTACTATGGCAAAAAAAAATTGGAAACAAATGCACAACAATAAACCACTAATGAATTACAGTGTGTCCATTACACAGAATAGAATGCAGCTACCAAAATCCTATTACAGGGATGGAAACGTAGTCGCAATGTATTAAGTAAAAAAACCAAGTTATTCTGGCTACTAAGCCTATCTCTGGATGATTCCAATGAGAAAAAGTGGGAGCGCATGCTCCAAAATGTCAGCAGTGATCATCTCTGAGCGGCCAGGTGGTGAGAAATTTGGATATTTTTGTTTTTGCTGGTTTCCTCACTTTTCTCTACAGATGAACAGTGCGGCCTTTCTATAAAGATTTAGAAAAGTGTCACGATAATTACAAATGTACCTGAACATTTTAACCCTTGGGGCAGCTTTTATATTAAAAACTCATGTAGTCAGATGCGCCCATCCACATATCTAAACATTTAATTGTCCAACGTGAGGTGTGAAGCCCTCAGCAAGCTGCTGCAGGAGGTACAAAGAGACGCGGGTCAAGAACGTGAACTTCAAGGTGCTCTCTATGCAGTAGGTATAAAAACACTGCAAGGGAGAAAATGCTACGTGCCACAAGAGAAGTTAAAAAGTGTGCCACGTAAATTCAGGAGGGAGGAGGAAATGCTTGACACGGTTACCCTTCTCTCGGCGCCAGTCAGGAATTCCTCCTTGGCTGTTTCCAGGAACCGCAGGATAGGTCTCTGCTGTGTGACACACTGGATCAGGTCCTCTTTGTGTTCTAGTAACAGAGCAGACAAGGTCTTTCCCTCCTCTGTGCTCCCTGGGAGAGAAGGAGTTAGAGACGCACACAAGAGAAGCTAGTCAATTTGAAGAAAATGACAGCCTGGTTTGTCAAGAGAGATCTAACGGAATAGGAAAGTGATTCTCGGCCTATTTTGAGCACCCGAATGCAGAATCTCTTTTTGCAGAGGAAAATACTTTATTATTCTGTTTAAACTCTAAGAAAGGAAAACTGTTTCATTTATCTGTCGAAACACAAAGCTGCAGAGCCAGCCAGAGGTTAACTTCTGGTTGGCAAGGCCACTGCTTTGTACCCAACCCGAAAGAGAGAGAGACTGCAGCTGCCGGCAAACCAGTTCACCCTGGGCAGTGAAAACACTGGCTGGGACGTGTGGCTTTTTGAAGGGCAGGAAAATGCTGACAGTCTTCTCCAACCTCAAGGTGTCAGACTACTTAACTAGTGGATAGAAATGGAGACTCAAATACAACTCAAATTTAGGTTATATGTATTGAACAGGCAGCTTCTAGAATTACATGTAGAACTGATGTGAAAATCACTTAACGGCAACGAAGCCACTGGAGCAAACTTAACAATGTCTTCCCAGAATAAAAGTCAAGCCACCTGGGTGGACAGGGTTTTCTCCTACCTTTCGGCTGTACCGCTTCCATGTCTTCTGGCTCTCTGTCTAACAACGCTGCCTTTACCGCGGGACTGGAATCCTGGCATAGCCTCAACAGAGACACAACGGTCTGAACATCCAGGCTCTCGTCTCTCACTTTATCCAGGATTCTCTGGAATGCTGAACGTCCTTCTTCACCCTCAAGACATCCCATTATAGTCTGTGAACAGAAGTAATGAGAAAGAGACATTGGCCAGCTGCAAGAACCCCACGCTCCTTGATCTGGAGAGTGAAGCCCTCACCATTTTGATCCCTGCCTGTTTGGCCTTTCTGTGGTACTTGGCATTTCTATGGCCCCTGCATGAGAGAATGTTCAGTGGAGGAGGGGGCAGAAGGGGAGGGGAGATGAGAGGGGTGCAGGGAGAGAATTAATCTTAAGCAGGCTCCATGCTCAGTACAGAGCCCCGACGCAGGGCTTGATCTTACGACGCTGGGATCATGATCCAAACCAAAATCAAGAGTAGGATGCTCAACCCAGTGTCTCGAGCTTCTCTGGCTTTGTAACATCGAAGCATTTGGTATGGATGAACACCAGTCTTTCTGACCCCTCCTTCTCAGCCTTCTTCACTGGTCTTCCTTCCAAATCTATAACCAGAAGCAGTACCAAAAACTGGTCTCAACTCTACTTTTTCTTCCATTATGCTCCTCCTTTAGAAAAGCTCTCACATACATAGCTTTTATATCACCTCTAGGCAGATAACCCTGAAAGCTAGTGCTCTAATCCTAAGCTTTCTGTTTAAATCGGGAGCCACACAATTTCCACTAGAAACGCCTTATCCTCCAGAGGTCTTGGCACCACATGTCACCATCTGGATGCTTCTAACCCTGGAGTACTAAAATATCAGCAACTCCGGTGGTAAAATAAAACAAAATTAGCAGGAGGAAGGCCAACTGGAAGGGTTAGTATTTCTATTTTAGCAATAATGGGTTTACTTTTAAAAATATGGAAGTGAAAGTTAATTTCATGCGCATAGCCTTTATATTTCTACTCAGCAAAACTACAACCTACCTTTGAGATTTTTAATGTTGATACTATAAGAGTTTTTTGCACAAGAAAGCAAAAAGGTATGGTTTTCTACACCTACACACACACACACACACACACACACACACACACACACACACACACAACATGAAAGGATCTCATGAAAATCTACACCTGCACCAATTCATCTAGATAGTTCTTATCAATTCTGGTAGTAACTATAGGTTTAAAATTTTTGTTTACAGAGATTCTTACCCTTTTCTCTTCCTCCCAGATAAACAGGAATTATGAACGAATTAGACTTTGTGTTTCTTGGCTCTGCTTGAGCTGGCTTTCCAATCACAGAATGGCTGTAGAAAGCCATGTTAAACTTAAAAGAAAAGGTTCCTATGATTTTTAGCCACGTACAAAAGTAAACTCAGATAAAACGCAGTTTAGGAATCCACATTAACTGAATTAGGTACTTCCATGAACCTGAAGTAACTCATTTTGTCTCTATGTTAAAAATAATAAGCAAATGAGATACCAACTTAGCTGAATGTTTAATCCCTTTTAGTCACATTTATTCAACCTTCTGTGCTTTTGTTAGTCCCTCTAAAGTCTCTTCTGAGGACGCCTTTTCCCTGATGGCAGTAGGCGGCAGGCAGCCTCTGACTGGTCCGCAATATCCCTGTCACCAGGTATTCATGCTGGTAGGCTGAACTTGATGACATGCTTCTGAGGAGAAGAATTCGGCAAAAGTAATGGGCCAGCACTTCAGAGGCTAAGCTGCTGTGGCTTCCATCTTGTCTGTGCGGCCATTCTCTGTCGTCGCTCTGAAGGCAAGCTGCCATGTCACAACCTGCCCTATGGGGAGGCCCACGTGGCGAGGAACTGAGGTCTCCGGCCAACAGTCAGTGAGTGGGCTTGGACATGACTCTTCAGAACCTTGCCAACAGTCGCATGAATGCACTGAGAACGAGACACTCCCCACCCCCACCCCACCCCAGCCGAGCCCTGAGCTGTCCGCAGCCTTGGCTGATGTACCCTGACACAGACCTCCTGGGGACCCTGAGCCAGGGACTCAGCTAGGTATGCCTAGCATCTTAATCGACAGAAACAGGGAGGTAACAAATGTGTGCTCTTTTAAACTGCTGAATGTCAGAGTAGTTTGTTACAAAACGATAAATAATGAACACAGACCCACTCAGTGCTAATACCCTCAGTAAACAGGTTTCTCCCTCTTTATCTTCCCTTCCCTTCCTCCCTTTCTTGGATGCATCTTAGCTGGTACAACACTTAGCCGTCCTCTTCTATCCTAAGCCGTGTTTTCAGCCGAAGCTGTCTGAACATCCCGAATCCACCTCTCTCAGTGTCCAATCTGTCAGGCATTATCATACGGGCTGTGGGGAAAGACGCTTTCATCAATGGTGGCATCTGATGCGCTTCTCATTATCCTCTCTGCTGTCTCCCCCTCTGCAGAACTGCTCAGCAGTGAAATTAAAACATTTGTTAACTTCATTGCTCAGCAGTGACACTAGGGTGTGACCATCTGGGAAGAAGGGCAGGGGTGGGCTGATGAGAGGGCCAGGAGGGAGCAGTCAGCTGCCCGGCCAGCCCTGCTCTTTGCTATTTCTTCCAGAACCTACTGGGGAGCTGGCACCAGAGCCAGCATTTTAACTGTTACTCAGTCAGCCTCCTCGGCTGCCTGGGGCTGCTCCGTGCGGTGAGCCCTTTTCTGAAATAGTGTGTCTGCCTCCACAGAGGGTGTCACATATTGTGACAGACCGGGGTTCACTGATCACTATCACATACCTTAACTCTGAGAGTTTTGCTCTTTAACCATACATTTGGAATTCCTTTGATTCTTAGAGTTAAAGGTACTTCAATAAATTCATATCAATTTATGGTCACATGTGTAATCAAAGTACTTTGATTTATGAATGAATTACAGGTCAGTAGATTTAAAGATGGGACAGTTTCTTTCTAAAATTTAGTCTTAGCCTCACACTAAGGTCTTTTAAATTGAATTTACTTATTTTCCCACTTGTCTGGTTAGTGCCTTTGGGTGTGTTTGAGCTAAGCTGCATTCTTGGTCACTTGTGCCTCCCGTGAATGCCGAGCCAGATGACAGCACTAACCATACAGACCACGTGCGCTCAACACCATCATGGACACTGTGCACACTTGTGCCACCTGCAAAACTCCTCATGTCAGCCCCCGGGGCATTACTGTTACTCCGTAAAGGAGTTGAAGGTGTGAGGTGACCTGCCCAAGGCTGCACAGCCAGGAAGTAGTTCCCTGGATGAAACAGAGCTTATTCCACTGACCTGGTCCCCTTTTCATCATTCCAAACTCCCAGCTTTTGAGTGTAACCAAATCCGTTTACACTGCATTCTACTGGACTTACTAGAATCATCACTTGGAACACTGGGTCATATTTCGGCCATCTGTAGCATTCCTGCTGGTACCAATGATTTGTACGCAGACTGGTACACAGTAGGTGCTTAATAAATACTTGTTTAACCAAATGAAATTCCCTTGCCCTAAAACCAATAGCCCTTCTACCTATGGCTGCATACCTCAGATGTAATCATTTGCAGAGAGAAGATTTGGAAAAAGAACAACTTATTTTCATTTCTCATAGGCCTTTGAAATGATGTTATTAACTCCTTAACAGGGTCACTGTACGATGTCAGTGAACAGTCCACAAAACACAGAGCTGCACTTCTTGACAAACCTCCAAAGTAGTGACATGGCTGAAAACAACACATTCACATGGGAGACTTGTCTGCCTTTGAAACAAAGTTGAAGGAGAAAAAAATGCTACTAGATCTTAAGCTTTGGGAGTCTTTCTAGAACTTTAGGTGAAAAGTGGATCAAACAGCAAGGAAATCAATAGTAGAAGTTATCTCCTTATTCTAGTCATAGATTCACTCTGCTATATACACAATTAATTAAAAGCAAGGACATGGCTAGGAATAAAGAAAGAAGACAATTCAAAGTTCTTGCATTAAAGCTGAAAAAAAATATGAGCTTGCCTTTAAACAGAGGTTTTGCTCAGCTCAGCCAGAAAGCCTGTTAAGGTCAGTATCTGCTTTTTCTAATGGGTAGCAATATTGTATGAGATAAAGACAGGCAGAAGCCACTTTCCCATCCCAGCACCCAGGAGATTTCTCCTTAATCAGCTTTGGCTTTGGTTGTACACAACCCAAGCAGCCTGGCCTCCCTCTGTTGCCGCAATCACTGCTCAGGGAATGGCTTTGCCACCTTTCATCATATGTCTCAGGAAAGAGAGTAATCAGGACACTAGTTCAGGGTGTCTTCCTGAACCCCTGGTCCGGGCCAGGTGCACAGTCTCTACCTATGCTTCAGAAAAGGAACAGGCTGGTCCATCTCAACCAGACTGCTCACAAGCCTTAACAATCCTCAAAATTACACATCTAAGCACAGATTATTTTTAATGTTAAGCTGTCTTTTTAATGTTATGCTGATTAACCAAATAACAACAACAAAAAGCATTCAAAGCTCCTTGGGAGCCAAAACTGTTTAAATAGAAAAATAACAAACAAACTCCTAACCTTTATGATTGCAGCTGAAACACAGACTGATGTTTCAAGTGAACAGCTCGCAAATGCTTTCAATATTGAGGCCTTCTGGGGATTCCCACAGTTTGGTGACTTCCAAAAAAATAATTACACGTGTGGCAGGACTTCTTTGCTATAGGGATAGGGATCCAGTCTTACTTCTTTTTCTTTTCCCAGCAACCAGCTCAATGCCTGGCACATACCAGCTGCTCAGTAAACATGTGCTGAATCAAGGGGTAAGCAAAGAGTAACACTTGGGAGAAATGTGTACTTGGTGGCACCTCAAATCACTGAGCGGCGTCAGCACAGACACTGTGGCACCTGCCATCACACATGAAGAACTGTGTAAGCCATTAACTTCTCTAGCAGTGCTTCTCAGAAATGTGGTCCACAGATGCCAAAACAGCAAAACGGGGAGCCTGTTAAAGATGCAGATACCAAGCTCTACCACAACCTAAGGGTCCTCAGACCCTCTGGAAATGAGGTCTGGAGGTGCGTGTTTCAACAAGAACACCGAATGATTTGTACATACACTGGACCCACTGATCCAGAGACCAATGGCTTTGTACAGGACACGACACCTGCAGCTCAGGAAGGTACTTCCAAGTGGGTAATGGTACCTATTTGAAAGCATGACTTGCAAATTAAACTTAAAGAAACAGCAATCCATCTCATATGTCAGAGCAAATGACCATGGTACTAGGATATTATAAGGCATTAAGTAAAAAAGGGGTTTCAAGGTCAACTAGGTCTAAAATAGAGAGTTAACTTAGAAACAATAGCAATCCAAGCTCTTTCTTTGTGCCTGGAATTGTACTGTGAGTTTTACATGAATAATCTTTATTAATTTCACAACGATCCTGGGATGTAGGTAGTAACATTCCCGTTTTACAAATTAAGAAATTAAGGTTTATAGAGATTAAGTTATTTAAGAGCACAACATTAGCAAATGAAAGAGCTGAATAAAATAATTGTATATCCACACACTGGAACTCTGCTCAGGCAGAAAAAGGAATAAACATGCAACAACATGGATAAACCCCAGAAGAATTATGCTGAATGCAAGAAGCCAGACCAAAAAGAATATAGGCTATATGACTCCCTTTGTATATAATACTCTAGAAAATACAAATTCACCTACAGAGAGAACGCAGATCACTATCACCTGGGGATGGGTAAGTTGAAAGGGGGAGGAGGAAGGAATTACCAAGGGCATAAGTACATTTCAGGGTGATGGTATGTTCTAGATCTTGCTTGTGGTGATGGTTTCACGTTTTAAAACTTCTCAAACTGTACACTTTAAATATATACAGCTTGCTGTATGTCAATCATATCTTAATCAACCTGTCTAAAGAGAAGTTAAAAAGTGAGAGAGATGGGGTGCCTGGGTGGCTCAGTTGGTTAAACGTTCGACTTCGGCTCAGGTCATGATCTCTGGTTGTGGGTTAGGGCCCCACGTCGGGGCTCTGTGCTGACAGCTCAGAGCCTGGAGCCTGCTTCTGATTCTGTGTCTCCCTCTCTCTCTCTGTCCCTTTCTTGCTCACACTCTGTCTCTCTCTCTCTCTCAAAAATAAATGAAAATTTAATAAGTGAAAGAGAAGTACAGGGCCTAAGTACAAGCAGTACTTCACCAGCTCTATATTTTAATTTAATCTTGTGCTCTTTAACCATTTGTCTTTTTCTTTCTGCAGCTGAAAGGTTTATTATGGAATGTAACAGACTCAGTTTTAAATACGGCCACCAAGTGATTTGAAGAGCTCTTACTCTGACCTCTAAAACTGAGAAAAAAATAACATAAGCCTATAATGATCCCCAACAGTGAATCAGTGTTCTTTCAAAGTACTATTAATGTTATTGCCATCAAAAGATTAGGACAAGAATCGGGAGGGAAAAAAAATGTTGAATGAAACCACACAGAGCAAAAATTTCTTGAGCACTTGTTATTTGCCAGCCATTTTAGGTGCCGCTATTGGAAAAATGCTTAACACACAGTTCAAGCAAGTCCACAGGCAACACTGATAATCTGAGTATTGCTGATCTAAGGAATGCTGCTGCTCCATAACCAAAATTAAGTGGAGAGGAAGTCCTAAGAAAATACACGAAGAGGTGTGTCTATAACCTATCAAGGCAACAAACTAGTGACAAAAATGATAGATTAAACCATTAAGAGAACATCCAAGTGCAAAAATATAAAATCATAATGTCCTTCAGCACAATCGGTACAAAGAATACCAAGGATCTGTACCAAGACAGCAACTCGTAACCTCCCTACCAGAGTCATGAAGGTCGACCCAGTCTTATAAAAAGTTTCTCTCTCAAGAAAATAACGTGCAGCCAACTACTGATTAACTGTGGTCAAAGTAAATACTTGACCTTGAAATGTTTTTTTTTAAAAAGTAACTTGCTATGAATCAGGGAAATACTTAAATAGTAGAAGACATTTACTGTTTGGATTATGGTAACTAACAGCAACACGGGAGGCCTTCCCCATGCCGCCCCGCCCCTCAGATGCGCCTGCAGGGACAGTGCCCTCTGGCTGTGCCAGCAGGTCTCAGCATGGGAGGCACGGCTGAGTGGAAAAAGAAGCAAGAGGAGTTCTAAAGTGGCTGTGCAATCAATCCTGTAGGTTCAAGATCTGAGGAATCCCACAGGTGGGGACGCGTCTCCCCAAGACACTGAAAAGAAGAAAAGGTCAGCTAAGAAAGCATATGGTAACCACTGGGCAGTTTTCTGTCGGGCAATTCTTAAACATTTATATATACATGACATACGTGTATCACTTTTACTCTGTTGGCAATAACACCCAGCGTGCAAGGAAGGGAACAGCTCTAAAGTCAAAATGGTTCGGTTTGACTTCTTGCTCAGTCCTCTGAGCCCTGTAACCTTGGCCATGTTATATTACCTCTTTGAGACAGTTTTCTCATTCATAGAATGGGGCTAAAAAAAGTAAAATAGTATCCACCCTGGTGATCTGTTAGAATTAAATGTGATAACATGTGTCCCAAGCATAGCATCGTAAGTATTCAATAAATATTCACCATAACTGTTTTTGTGTCTGAAAATGGCCACTGTATTCCTAAACGCTGAATGCAATTTACTACGTAAAGTTTATAGTAAATCCTTTCCGTGCCATGTTTTGAGTATTTCTTGTTGTTCTGCTTTGGTTTTTATCATTTAATCTCGATTTGGGGTTATCCATGACTACCCCTCTGCTTCATTTTACCCTTGATTAATCAGGAGGAAATGGTATGATGAGTTAAGTATCCTGGATCAAAATTGGTTGAAAGCCGGGATTCAGGTTTTGAAAGCACATTGCCTAGTACTGTTGCAAGACTGCTTTTTAGAGAATAAATGTCAAAAAAATTTTAAGTCTGAAAAAAGCGAGGCCCTGAGATGTTTTGCATTTTCACTGTTCTGCCCCATATGGGAGGCTGACCTGGTGTCCAGAGAGCATGCCAGCAAGCAAACAAAACTCGCAGGACCTACCTCCTCCTGTGCACCTTGAATTTCTGAACATTCTTCTAGTCTTTTTGAAATATCCTGGGTAACCAAGAGTGCTTCAGAGAAGATACTTTCATTTTCTAGAAGAAAATTCAGCTGATGGTGTTTCCTCTCATACTCTGAGTGCAAAACAAAACACAATAAAAAAAATTAGTGATTCATTACTTGAAATGATGTGTAAAAGGCTGAGCTGACGTCCTTTAGGGCACATACTGCATTTATGACTGACTCCCGCCACATCAGTTATGGGTGACAGAGAACAGTGTCTCTAACAGCCTCCTCCTCTGTGCCATCCTCGTCCTGGCTACAATAACGGGTAAACATCGAAACTGATATATCGCTGCTTCAGTATTGCTATTCTGCTCTTAGTTCATCTTCAGACTTCCAACACTCAAAACCACAAACACTTTTAAAAGAAGAATGCCCCAGGAGGGAGCTCTGCTTTGGATTTTGTGTGGCATTGGATTGGATTTTGGTTTCCTATCTAGCAGTGGTCTTTGGTAAATTCATCCCTGAAACAAAAAATTCATGGGGCACCTGGATGGTTCAGTCGGTTGAGCATCCAGCTCTTGGTTTTGCCCAGGTCATGATCTCACATATCCTGAGTTCAAGCCTCAAGTCGGGCTCTGCACTGGCAGCACGGAGCCTGCTTGGCATGCTATCCCCCCTTCTCTGCCCCTCCCCCCACCACTCTCTCTCAAAAATAAACAAACTTAAAAAAAAAAAGAAACAAAAAATCCGTAAGGATAACTGAATATGTAACGGACAACAGCAGGCCAGGTTACAGGGCGACTATTAGGGGACCGTTACCTGGTCCCGAGCCCGCCTCCCTCACCTCCCTCGCCTCCCTCAAGGCTTGTCCGGCAGGGGCCGGGGCAGCACCTTCAGCGGCGTGAGGGGTCTCCACTGCGGTGTGTGCGTTCCCCCGAGCCTCCTGGGCAGTGGAAGGACCCGCACTCATCTCCTGTGCCACCGTACAGACAGCCTCCCCAGCCTCGGCTCTCACGGTGCCCCCTGGGGACGCAGAGCCTTCCAGGGGTGAGTAAGGCTCTCGGGCACCCTCCGGGGACAGGATCTCCGCCTCGGGCTTCTCCTTCTCCGACTCCTTCGTGCCCGGATCTGTGGGCACCGTGGAGACATCCCGCACCAGCTGGCCCTGAACAGAGCAGCTTACGAGGTTGGTCAGAAGGTTTTTACAACTAACGGCCACGTCAAACATCTGCAGGCTGTCGGCTAGAGAGATGATTTTGGAGAAGTTGTGCTTGCCCACGGGCAGCTTGCCAGTGTACATCATCTCGAGCAGGAGGGCGAACTCCTCGGGGCTCACCACGGACGCGTCGATGGAGATGGTGTCGGTGTTGTCCAGCAGGGTTTTGAACAGGAGGCTGGCCGCGGCCAGGACGAGCTTGTGGGCCCTGAAGTAAATGGCGCCGATGGAGACGGTGCAGTCGCAGAACTGCTGCTCCTTGCACAGGGTGTAGAGCTGCTGCAGCAGCTGCTGGCTGTAGTTGGGGAGCTCCATCGCGGCGGCCCTGCCCCAGGACGTCTCACCCTCTCTTCTTCCAGAACCCACTTCTTGAGGGTCAGGGCTACACCCTAGAGAAGCCCAGAAAGTGCCGTGTTAACACTTCACAAGCACAGAGGGAAACACCTTTGGGTGAAATAGTCAAACGAACAGGCGATTCACTCCTGCATCTGACGAATGCTGCTCAACAGGGAGGGGCGGTGTGCCAGGTAGGTGACGTGAAGGACAATGCCTGTCACGTGTTCAACTATATGAAAGCCACTACGCTTAGTGCTTCATCTGGACACACTCACGGGGTCCTCACGATGATATCATCCCCTCCCCATTTTACAGATGGGACTGGAGCTCAGAGGTACAGAGAGAACCAGCCTGAGGAAAAACAGCTGGGACATGGCATGTGCGCGTCACCCACGTCAGAGCTGGGGGAGATTCACTGCTGTATGCGTCCCTGCTTCCAGTGAGTACTCAGCCGGATGAAGAAGGCTTATGCAGTTACATAAAGAGATCTACAGTACACGCCCTCATCTCGCCTGACCCATCTGCAACATGGGACACGGGCATCACTCCCTCCCGCTTCAAACGCCTGCTTCACTCACTCCTGTGACCTCACCACCCAGCATCCTTTGCTCTGTGTCACACTGGCCTCTACGGCTTAGAATGCTCTGGGACTCAGTCACCTCTCCTCTGATCTTCTGTGTCATCTGATTCCACACTTGGAAACATCCACAAATCCTGACTATGCGGCTCATCCCTATCCCGTCGGCTGGCAGGGTGACACCTCAAGCTCAGTCCTCCTTGGAGTCCAGAGGCACACCTCCAGCTGCCAGCTCAGCATCTCCGATCGGAGGCCAGACAGGGTGTTCCAACTTCTCCCCCAAACTCTCCTGCCATCTTCCTGCTCTACAGCAATTTTGTCTTTCTAGTTGGTTAGACCAAAACCCAAAAGTTGACCTCGATTCCTGCCTTTTCCTCGTACTCCATATCCAATCCTTCTTAAATCCTGTTGGCTCTACCTTCAGCATATATCCAAACCCAGTCACTTCCTGCTGCCTCCCCTGGCTCTCTCTGGTCAGTCCGAGCCCCCGCCCCCTACTACCTGGACTACTACAGCAATCCCTTCTAACTGTCTCCGTGCCTCTGCCCCTTTCCAGCACTAACCTCACCCCATCCTCCCTCAATCCAGAAGTCAGAGGGGTCTTCTTACTACACAGCCACATTCTGTCCCTTACCGGCACAAAGGCCTCCTGGGCTTCTGGTCTCAGAGTAAATACCAAAAGCCCAAGTTCTCCTAATGGCCTACACTCCCCCTCATAACCTGGCTGGTATTAACTCTCTGATGCCATCTTCTACCCCGTCTCCCGCATGCATTCTGCCTTCAGCACACAGCCTTCCTTACGGATCATGGAACACACTAAGCATGTTCATCTGCAGGTGTCTCCACACGTGTGCACGGCTCACTCTCCCTTCCATCAGGTCTCTGCTCTGAGGCCACATCATCACTGAGGGCTTCCCTGACCGTGTCCTCTAAGTAGCAGCCTCTCCTCCATTCCATTCCTCTTACTCTATTTATCTTCATAGCATTATTACCCATGACCTATATTTTCACTTATTATCATGTATCTCCCTTCACTGGAACGTAAGCTCCATTAGGAAAGGAACTTTTTAAAATCGTCTGCTATATCCCAGCGCTTAAAATTCTGCCTAAGACGAATGTTGTTGATTAGATGGTGGAATCAATAAATGAATGGAATGAGATGTAATGGCAGAGAATTGCACCCAGAAACCCAGTTTGGGAAAAGGGGTGTCAAGCAGTTAGAGGAGCTGACCTGCCTGAATAAACGAGCAGGCAGTGACAAGGGGAAGACAGTGCTCCAAGCAGGGAGCCTGCGTGAGGCACACCAACAAGAAAACACCCCCAGTGGTGGCGAGGAAGGGGAGGAGGGGGACTGTAAGGAAGTCAGTGATGCTGGAACACAAAGCAGGGAACAGGGAGTATCAGGGGCTACATCTGGCAGGCAGGGGTGTGGCCACAGAGAGATACATGGACCATGGTTAGGAGCTTGGATTTGTCTGAAAGGGAATGAGGAGCCACTGAAGGGTTTGAAAGGCTTTAAGCAGGGAAGTCGCATGGTCAGAGATGCATCTTAAATGTATCATCTAAGTGACATTTGCACAGAACTGAGGGGGATAATGCTAGAGACAGGCTCTATTATTGCAGGAGTTCAGAGATAAATCAATGAGGACTTTGACCGGGAGAAGTGGCAAGAGAAGAGAGAGAAATAGACAGCCAAAAATATTCAGAAAATGTAACTGTCATGATTTAGAGTCTGAGTGCACGTGAGGGAAGAGAGAGACAGCTCCCAGGTCCTGGTATGGTGCGTGGGGGTGGACGCTGAGATGATCCAGACAACATGAGAAAAGTTTAGGGAAAAAGACATCCAGTTCAGTTTTGGGTTTGATGATAGCCAAACTGTATACTCTCACTTGGATAAAGAAAAGAAAACGTACTGACAAGGTGGGGGGGGGTGGGGGTGGGAGGGGGGTGGAGACAAATGTCAGAATAACCCCAGTTGCCTTTGTTAGCGAGACTGTGGATGATCTCCTTCCAATCCACCACCATTTCTTTATTTTCCCACATTTGAAGCTGACAGATAAAAATACAAGTATTTCCAAGTTCTGGTTTCTGGTCTGGCATGGAAGGAGCTTAGGAAGTCACCATTCCATCCTGACGACAGGTAAAAAGCTGAAAATAAAATGGAAAGGCCAACAACTCTTTTTAGATTTGTCAGAGAACTGAGGTCACAGGGCAAAACTGCTATGCCCTAAATTGGAGAGAAAGACAGGCAGATACAGAGAATCACAGCTTCTCGGAGCAGAAACCCACCATCAGACACATGGTGGGAACCACACCAGGAAAGTAAAATAAAAACTGAAATGACAAATTGCTTCAGGCTCAAGGTGGACAAGTCTGAGTTAAAAACTACAGAGGGACCAAGTCATAATTCTGTGAGTTTTACCTGCAGGAGCTCTAAGGGGTGAATATAGGAGAAAACTTTCCTCCTGCTTCTGGCAGGGGGAGGGAGGGAGGGAACTAACCATTTTTAAATATGCCAGAGCAGTCTGTCCTTAACAATGCCTAGCTTCAGGAGAAACTGTTTTACCAGATTCAGACCTAACTGGAGGAAGGAAAATATACTTCTGCCCCCAACATCCTGCACCAAGGTGGGGGTGGGGTGGGGGTGGGGGTGGGGAGATGTTTGAAAAACATCGGTGAAGTTCATGGTCCAGGGGCACAGGCTCACCAAAGTACTGAGCGCTAATCATCAGTCTGTAAAATACTTCCTCCCCTGCACCTTACCATCCCATCATCGATAGGCCTGCTTACTACAATTTCTTTTATCCACTACTTTATGTCTACCTTTCAAGAAAAAATATTTCAAAACATACTGAAGGGCAAAAAATAGAACTTTAAGAGAGTGAACAAGCATCAGAACCACAGTCAAATATGTCAGGAGTTATCTGATCAAGAAGTGTTTTTTGGGTTTGTTTTTTTTTTAAGTTTATTTATTGAGGGGGGAGGGGGCACAGAGAGAGAGGGAGAATCCCAAGCAGGCTCCATGCTGTCAGTGCAAAGCCCAACACAGGGCTCAAACTCACAAAATATGAGATCATAGCATGAGCCAAAATCAAGAGTTGGATGCTTAACCAACTGAACCACCTGGGTGCCACTCTGACCAAGAATTTTTAACAAGCACGATTAATATGCTAAGGGCATTTGTGGAAAAAGTAGACAACAGGCAAGAAAGGATGAATAATAGAAGAGAGATGGAAATAAGAGAAAATGAAAAAAATGCTACAAGTCCAAAATGTAACAGAAATTAGGAATGCTTTTGATATGTTCATTAGAAAACTGGAAAGAGCTGAGGAAAGAATCTCTGACTTTCAGGATTGATATAACAATAGAAACTTCCCAAACTGAAAAGAAAAGTGAAAAGATCAGGACAGATTATCTAAGAACTTCAAGACAACTACAAAAGGTAAAACATATGTTCAGTGGGGATATTTGACGGAGTGAAAGTAAAAGGAACAGAAGCAATATTTGAATAATGACTGAGCAGTTCCCCAAATTAATGTCAGACACCAAACCGCAGGTTGAGGTGCTCAGAGAACACCAATCAGGATAAATGGCAAAATACTACATTTAGGCATATCATATTCAAACTACAGAAAAATCAACACTTAAAACAAAAAATCTCCAAAAAGAAGGGGAGGGGGTAGATCACCTCTGATTTCTCCTCAGAAGCCATGCAAACAGGAAGAAAGTAGAATAAAATATTTGAAGGGTGAGAGAAAAAAAAAAGCAACCTAGAATTCTGTAACAGAACTTAGGAATTACCCTTCAAAAGTAAGGGGAGGGGGGAAATAAGGTCTTTCTCAGACAAGCAAAACTGACTCAGTTGCCATTAGATCTGCCTTCCAAGGTATGTTAAAGAAGTTCTTCAGAGAGAAAGAAAATGATAAAGTATAGAAATCTGAATCTACATAAACAAATGAAAAGCACTGGAGAATGAATAGGTGGAAGGTAAAATAAAAACATTTATTTCTTAATTCTTAATTGATATTACTGATAACTGTTCAAAACCATAGCAATTTATTTTATTATGTATGCTTATGTTTCAATATACATATATATGTGTGTGTGTATATATGTGTGTGTGTGTGTGTGTGTGTGTGTGTGTGTGAAATAAATGACAACAATGATACAAGGGATGGGAGGGAAAAATCAGGATTATTTTATTAGTAAATATGGTACTTGTACTACCTGTGAAGTGGTATAGTGTCATTTGAAAGTGGACTTGAATTAGACATAAATGTACAATGCAAACTACAGAGCAACTACTAAAACCAGTCTGAAAAGGAATATAACTGATAGGAAAGAAGTGAAAATGGACTCAAGTCAAATAGTCAGTTAAAACCATGAAAGAATGAAAAGAACGTGGAAGACAAAAATAGGAACAAAGAACAAGGGCAACATATAAACAACATTAACAAATATGGCAGATATAAATCA